AGCCGACTTGATTAACTCTGCAGTGCGCACGCGTTGACTACGTCTGCAAGAGCCCTCCGAAGGGAGGTTCGCAATTCTGCCCCTTGGTACCGCGTCCGGTAAAACCGCCTTCCTATTTAGAATAACGCGGACTGGACAAGATCTCGATCAGTGTTGATATTGAACTAGCGGTAGGGGGTGGTTTATTTTATTCTATTATATGTGTATATAAATGCATATCTATATCACCTATCTATATATCTGTTCCCTTATCTTTAGCCCTAAAAAGATCATAATATTTTAATCGAAAACGTTCATGTTCTGGGCAAGTGTCATGGAAATGTCCACAGGTAAAGGGTGCGATCTTATGGCTACCGGTCTGTAGATCCCAGTAGGTTCAACGATATTGGAGTAGTTCTTTATGTCCTAGGCCTGTTAGCCTGTCTATCCTCTCTCCTAAGGCTTGTCGAGTTGACATTACTACATTATAGTCTAATTGAATCTAGGGTGTGGACCGTTGGAGGATCCGTGAATATATATATTTAGACAGACAACAGTTTCATCTTACTTGCGCACACGTTTCCTATCCTTAAAACCCGGCTCCACCAGAGTGTATCCAGTAATTTCTAATAGTATGATCCTAGAAACCTACGACAAGAGCTAGTAAGGCCCAATTTCGTCAGTCTACCAAGCGAGAGTAAATGAAAACCGCGTAAATACCCTCCCAACCGGTGATGATGGAAGTTAAACCCCAAGTGGGTCCCGAGTGAAAACCCTTGTAAAAGCCTTACTGCTTGAGAACTAGCGTGATGTATCCGCCATGTGGCGACTTTATCTTCCACCTCCTTTTCGAGGGATCCTCGCGTCGGCTAATCTCATGGGACTCGGCATGATTCGGTGTTAGGGAGCCCCAAGCACTCAACCAGCGCGCTTCTGGCCCTCATTGGGTCCAAGGCAGCGCGTGGCACTATTATAGGGTGAAGAAGGAAGGGCTTGGAGCTTACTACTCCATCCTACCAGTCCTTCGGACACGTCAGGTGGACTAACTAAGAAGATTGTCTTAACAAGACTATGTGGGTCATTCATGGCCTCGACACCAATGAAAACCAGCCCGGTGGATGGAGTGGGTCCTGCCGGACCAACCATGGCCTTGGATTTGATTTCGTCAGGTGGACTCCATCCTTCAACATACGAGACACCGCTCTGAAGCATGTCGCTTACTTCCTGCCGCCCGGTTTTCCTTCGTCTCTCCTCTCCATTGCACGGCACCTGTTTACTACTTAGGACTACGACGCCCCCCTCCCCCTCTTCTCTCCCATTTTCTTCTGCCCCGCGACAGGTGATTCGGGGCTGCCTGTGATTTAAAGGCGCCGCCTTTTACATGCTCGCTCACTGCTGGCGGACTCAGGAGCCCGTTTCCATCCCGTGCAGTAGCATGGTCGGGATGGTGGCCACGAATCGCGGCGGTGATCCGCGCGACCAAACGGGCAGTCCGCCTGTTGGTCTTCCAGAAGCTGCTGGACGGTGGTGGGGAAGCCACCGAGAGGACTGAACCCGATGCCACCGCTGATGCCCAAGTGAAGGGCCTCCTGCAGGCTGACCACCCGGAAGGCGACGCGATGACGGTAGTACCCGCATCGGTCGCATCCGTCGGTATTATCCACGGGGCCTAGGTCGCTCCCTCTGAAGACCGTGAAACGGGCCCCGGGCCACCGACGCTGGACCTGGCAGAGGAGCCCTGCGACGCCCGCCCTGCAGCACAGGATGGACCCGTGGCACTCGTACCATCCGCGGGCCGGGATGGGCTTCTCGTCCATCTCGAAGAAGAAGGACCGGGTCAACCAGGCCTGGGTCAGTTCGTCGGGAATGCGATAGTCAAACTCCCCGAGGTCGTCGAGCGCGTGAACATCGTCCAGTTCGGGCAACGCCCCGCGGACCGGGCGATCCAGGCGGAAGACATGTGGGACGACGTCCTCCGGGATGCTGTCCCGGGCGTCTTGCCAGCCGCGCCATCCATCCACCGCGGGCGAGCACAGGAAGGTCCGGATGCCTCGCGCGATGAAGCTGTCGCCGAAGAGGCGATTGCCCTTTTCCGTGGACGCCGTCGGGGCGGCCGTGTCGTCTAGGGCATGGCCGGTCCCAATGCTGACCACGAGGTCCGGCCTCGGGCAGGAGGGCCAGATGATCTGGCTCTCGCGGAGGGCGGCCCGGAGCGGACAGTTGGCCCGGACGCCCCCGTCCTGGAGGGTTCCGATCCCGTGGAGCGTTTTGGGCGTGAAATACCTGGCTTGGTCAGTGCTGCCACGTCCGTTCTAGGATGCATGCTGGACGGCATGGACGTGCACGTACCCAAGCGCAGCCACGCTGCACCGCGCGCTATTCCGTGACCGGTCAGTACTTCCTGGCAGGGGTCATGCACCCGCACCTGTCCATGGACCCACGACTTACGCTTCCCACAGGAGTGGTTCTTTGTCGGAGACCAGCGCCTGGTGGGCCGACTGCATCCGATGCCGTCCCACGCCCCGGTAGTTGGCAAGGATACCGAGAGCTCCATCGTCAACACGGCTCGCGGTCAGCGCCACGCGGCTTCCGGACACCAGCGGGGCGGTGACGTCGAAGAGTCGACGGACGGTGCCATATGCCGCCTGCAAGGTCTCCTCCAGGGCCTGGGAACTGTAGCGACTGTCGGCGATCCAGGTGGTGAACAGGCCCCATGATTGTCCCCACAGGGTCTGGAGGCGGGACCGTGCTGGGAAGATCCGTCGCGCCAGGGCTCGGAATTTCGTATCTGCTTCTCTGGCCGACGTCCCGCGGACGATGATTTCCGAAGCAATAACCGCACCTACGGACCAAGTGACAGTCATCTGGCATGCTCATAAGATATATACAAAGCACACCACCGCAATATCAACAGCATCAACAGCATCAACAGCATCAACAGCAACAAGAGTAATGGGACTTACCTGCACTGGTTCCCACGGTGAGGTCAACCGCATCGCGAAGGCCTCGACTCCCTCCCACCGCATCCTCCAAGGCCCGAAGAAACCCGAGAGTAACGACTCCACGGACCCCGCCCCCGTCAAGGACCAGGATCGTCGGCCGTTTCGTCGGCGGGAGTTGGCGGACCACGACCGAGAAGCCTTGGAGACACAGAGGACACTCCGGGATCTCAAAATGATACTCGGCGGGTCCCCGGCGGATGCCGACGATGGCAACGCATGTGTCGCAGAGCGCGTGTCCACAGGGTAAGAGGTGCTCGGGTGGCCGCTGTAGACAGAACAGGCAGACGCAGGAGGACTTCAGCGGTCCCCACATCCACGGCTCACGGCGCAGGAACGCCCGCCGGGCCTGTGCCGATGATCGATTCGACGCTAGGGCGGTGAACAACGATGCGAATGCACCCTCGACGGACTGGATCAGACAGTCGGTCGTGGCGGGCCATACCGCCGAGCATGCCGCTCTGCATGGGGCCCAGTAGAGGCGGCGGAACATCGTCTCGGGGCGAAATCCTAATTGGGTCACTGCTATCCCTTTTCCGCCGGGCTCGCGCGACTTACCATGCATCCCGGGCGGGTAGGCATCCATGAGCAGGGCCGACGCGACAAAGGGGGCCACACGCGTGGGCGGCAGGCTGGCCGCGGCCGCCACGGTCAGGAAGTCCTGCATGGACCGCGTGCGATCGCTGTCCGTGGAGCGGCAGGGGCGAGTCGCGCGGATGCAGTCAAACGGCACCGTCGGCCGCTGCGTCATCTGTTGCAGGGCCTTGCGGAAGATCCATTCCCAATGGACGGCGGAAAAGGCGAGATGGGCATCGGCGCGGGCCGCCTGTGCCTCCTCGAGCTGGTCGCGCAGTCGCTGCCGCAGCGGCTCAAAGCGACTGACCGGCGAGAGCTGCTGTCGGTCGCGCAGGTCCACCACCGACACGGAGGCGGCCAGGCGGGGGACCGCCAGGGCCACCAGCGCCGATGCGAGGGCCTCCCCGCCGTCCGACTCCTGGGGGTCGGTCAGGACGACGAGCAGGCCGCGCCAGGGCGATGTCGATCCGTCGAGGTTGACCGGCGGCGCGGCGCTCCAGCGGGCGACACACGCCTGCACCTGGGCGATCCCCCCCAGATCGGCGGCGAACAGACACACCGTGTCGGCCACCGGCAGGCACAGCCGCTGGAGCACCAGATCTCGGATGCCGTCGCTGGTCTGATCGTGGGTGTCCGGCAGCCGGTGTCGGCACACCGGCTGCGACGGTCTCTCCCACCTCCCCTCGAGGTGGTCGGCGTGGCCGGTCTCGATGAACAGAACCGGATCGGGCTGGGACCCGCCGGCGAGATGGAGTCGGGCGAACCCCTGCCGACCGGAGCGACCGACGTTGGTATCTGGGTGCAGGGACCGCAGTGCCTGCAGCTTGGCCCGCTGGCCGATGAACAGCTGGATGGCGGGAGTCCCCGCGCTGGGACAGTCGATGAGGTCCAGGATGCGACTCATGCGGTCGCTCTCCACGACCGTCCAGCCGCCGGTGGCATGCTCCAGGTCCAACCACACTGCCATGATGAACGAGGCGAGGCGAGCAAGTCCGGACGATCCTCGGTTTCATGCAGCGCTGAACAGAGCTTTTAAGGCCCCCAGGGCCGTGTCTCTGGGCGCTGGGGGCTTTTGCGCGGGCCGGTGTCGTTGCTCGCCACGCCTCCACGACATCCTGCGTTTTTACGCTGTCCGTGGATTAGCCATTCCCACAGGACATCCGTGGGGCAGATGGACGACTTCCTGCTCCCTGTCTCCTTGGGCTGAGAGCACCGGCAACCGTTATTACTGTGGCATGAGGGTCGTTTCTCTCCGGCCGTGGTAATCGTTTCGCCCACCCTTTTCCACCCACGGGCGGAATTCTACCGACTATCTACATGTACCCGAGAACGTGAAGATTCGGAAGCGCTGCTAAAATATGCGGTGGACTATTTCGAGGGTCACCGATGGTTCTGCAATATACATGACGCCAATCGCTGGACGGTATGAACACTAAGACCCCTTTCTCATCTCTCTCCAATCTCCTTGCTCCTCGATCCATGGTGTCCCTGTGTTGCATCGGTGTCGCGAAAGGGTCGCCGGGTAGACTCGGCCGGATACCGGCGAGCCGTCTGGATTTTGTGGACCGTCCTCGTTGGGATCTTCGCGGGACCGCTGGACAGGTATCGGGGTGTGGGGGAGGATGGTTGGTGCTTCATGGCGATATATTTCGCGCCTGTCTGCGTTAGCTTCGCTGACGTTTGATGCTGGAGGACCAGGGATACTCACAGATCCAGAGGCTCCCGGCCAGCTCGTAGTTCACAGTATCCTCGTGAGCAGGAGCGTTCAATGCTTTGGGAACCTCGCCAGCTCCGAGGCCTACTGGGGATTGGGCCAGCCTCGGCTGCCGGTGACCCCGGTCCCGCCGTGGTGTTTTTTGGGCTGTGTGAGACTTGCGAGCTGGCCGCACTTGTGAAAGTGGAGCCTCTGGCGTTGGCTCCCTTTTTTGCGTTGGCGTCGCTTCCCGCTCCGGACTGCCCACGGGCGCTACGGGCGATGATGGTTCGGGGCTCGGGGATGCGCTCCGCCGTGATAGCCGTGCTTGTAAGCGAGTTCGCTGGGAAAGGCGCCCGGAGGATCCGGTAGGTTTAATGATTCGGCCGGCGGTCGACTCGACCCTGCTGCCCCTTCGTCTTTTTGGAACCCAGCCCCAGTCCAGTCGATTCCAGAGCCCCCGGAGGGAACTAGCTGTACGTTTTTTTTCTTTGAACTCATTGTTCCAACGCCGGACTCGATCTTTCCACGAGCTTCCTTCAAGGATTTCGCGTTCCATGAAGGGTTCGAACCTCTGGAGCTCATCGTCTGACCACTTCATGGCTGGCTATGTTTCGATCGCCGGGCAGGAGCTGAATTTGTGAGACCTAATATCTCTTGCCGTCGATAGGGACCATTTATGACATGTTGAGACATCAGGGGCCCAACTCCCAGCGGAGTCTGTCGTCGCCCCGACCCCGTTGAACCACCGCACCGTCGTGCCACATTCGGACCGCGCCCCCACAATTTGGTCCCGCCGAGCTCCACGGAGATTTTGATGATGCTTTCGACTGAACGCCTGTTAAACGCTTGTTGAACTGAAGACAGCACTTCATAACCGTGCTATTTTGTGGGCCACCCGGGTGTATGGCACGCTACCCTAGTGGTGTCTCGTGCTTCGTATTCTGTTTGGACGCTCGTTCGAGGTGTAATTTCGACTCGATTCTAGCCGCTCCCGCCTCCATTTCCAGCGCTGTTACACGCATGTACCTGCTTTATTCAACCGAGCGGGCAACAATCGAGGGCCAGTCCAACAGTCGTTAAGCGAAGGGAGGGTGGTTGAGCGCATGGTGGCCTGGGACTTCGCCCCTGACGGCGGGGGTTGAAGTCGAGGGACAAGCGATTTGAATGGGCTCTTGTGGCCACTTTCTCGTTCCTTATACGTAAATGAAGACTCCCAACTCTCTTGTTAGCCAGCAGAACAGAATTTTTGATCATGGCGAAGCGAAAGAGGCAATCTCGGCGCCGGCGCCCTCAGTGGCCGCCGCACAGAGATAGGCCCAGCCAACCAGAAATCTGGCGATCTCTTAGGAGGTCAAGGAAGATAAGAAATTACACGCTAGCGCCCTGCAATGAATGAAGATCATAGGTGTTGACAACGTATTTCTGCTAGGGATTCAAAAGGTCTCGCAGACCAAGTTGATCCCTTGACCCCTCCATTCCACAGAACTGCCATCTGCAACTATGCATCTAGTCCGTCCACGGTACACTCCGGCGGTAGTGATGGTAGAGAGCGCATATTAGCCACGCCATCGCGACAATAAAACTGTATACGTAATTCGAAACCGACCAACAAAGCATGGAGGCGCCAAACCCTGGCGGTTACGGCAGGATTCTTGGTCAATAGCACTAACAAGGTTGAGGCCTGTGGTTGATTAGTCTTGTGATAGATATTTAATTCGGCCGAGATTATACCGGAAGGCCGGCAGATAAAGGAACACGCTAGACCCTCTGGCGCCTTTTTATCCCACCACACTGCTGGATGCCTCCAAAATCCAATCTACATTGTTGATATGACCTGGTCCTACGGAATTGGGATGAAAGGACCTAGTCTCAGTATTAAGATGACCCTGATTGTCCTAAAACCCATGATAATTGGATAAAGCGAGACAGGGATGTGTAACTGAGGACTGGTATAGATGTTTGGGCTAGACTTCGGGTACAGGGAATTTCGAAATCAGATTCCCTCACAAGATAACACACGCCTTCTTTCTCAGGTCCCACTATCGGTCTAGGCCAGGATCGTTGAACTTTAAAAAGCCATATCCAGCCAATCACCCGGCTAGACTGTGCTCAAAGAGCACTAGACTTTGCCGTATCTGGCTTAGAGTAGTTCGAGTGGGGCGCTGGGTAAGAAAGGGAATCTGATTTCGACAACCGCTGTAATGATCGTGGTTAGAAGGGGGAAGGATTCGTACGGACATAATCGATTCTGGCCATGGAATGACTCCGGCAGAACCAATTCCCAGGCTTTACGCTATTATTATTATTATTATTATTTATTCATAGCCTGACCCCTCGCCTCAAATTAGAACACTGGATTGAGATACAAGTGTGTTATAATTTTCATCAGCCTATGAAAAGACATCTAGCTACTTGTAGTAGCTTCTGCCTAGCGAAGTGACTGCCTAGTAAGCAGACACGTCACACTTCTATTGTGGCCGCGGAGCGATCGAGGTGGCTCAGATCTACTTCCTGCATGGACCCGGAGAGATTAGTCCCAAGGGATCTGTATCAAGGACTGCATACGGCTCATTCCAAAATTCTACTATATTAGTGACTTTATGATTTACTCCAACCAGGCAATCATATGACTGAAATTTCTTGGGTACCCGAATGCACCTCCAGGTTGATTAACACCGTTGATTACTTGCAGCCCACGCAGCTATTATGGAGGATAAGTAATCAATCAAGGATAACTATTGAAGGGGAACAACTACCTGCAAGCGTGACCAAACCAGTAGAAAACAAGAGAAAAAAGTGACTAAACTCGTGAGCAGACTCAGGTTGAAAGTTATGGATTTGAAACTTGGTTTATTATCACAGGGTGGCAGCATCGCAGTAAATATGGGTGCAGACTAGTTCTGTCTGCCTGCAATGGTCGCAGAACGGTTCATTATCGCAGCTTAGATAATATTTAGGTACTGCGTAAGATCCTTTTCCAAGTCACTGCAGCGTGAAGTGCTTCAGACGGAAGCATGATAAAATCAGCAAAATCAACTTTATGCTAGACCATAAAAAAAAGGCCTAATCTTTGCATAACATGGTTAACCGCAATACTGTAAATTTAGTTCAATACTTAAAATTGTAAGTTAGCGGATTTGAATGTTAGTTAAGCAACAAGGCTGTCTCTGCAGATGTCCACAGGGGCCAATTATTTTAGGATTTCTACAAGGCCATCGTCAAATGGTCCATCACTCCTTTTGACATGAGCAATGATGAGCCCTATCTATAAAGCAACCTGCCCCCCAGAGAACCAACACATGCTAAACATCCACGAAGCTGCTGATACAATGGTAAAGCCTGTTGCCGCAGTAGTAACTATTAGCATTTCCCGCCCAAGTGTGGCTTCTATCCTCAGGTCAGTAGACAATGGTTGAAGTGAATGAAGAAGAGCCATGCTTGTCGAGATGGCCGTGAGGGTTGCACTGAATGTGAACATCATCGCTCCCTAACACCAAATCTAAGTTTAGTGCACGCTTTGTGAAAATATTTCTCAACCGGATATTCTTACCGATATGCAAATAATGGTGAGTACGTTGCCCAGAGGTGATTTCGTCGCCGAAATGCCAACCAATAACGCAATCGCAATCAAGAAGAGTGATACGAAGTAAGCGGAAATGGCCCACTGCGTATGCATTCGATAGAACCAAAACCCACTCATACTCGTAGGAGTCAAATAATCAGTGATAATGCCCTCGAGTCCAAGTACTTCCTCAATGTCCATTTGGAAAGACAGCCTTGGTTTTGTACAGCTAATGATCATCCAATTGTCACCACTGTGGGTGCCATTGCAGTAGCCCAAGAGGCCTATCAAATATATCTCTAGTGGTCATTGTTAAAAAACTTAACAAGAATCGATGTATCTGCCAAGTCTGCCAATGGTATCCTTGAAATATATGGTACCTGCCTTGGGCATGAATTTACTTACCTGGTGAGTATATTAGCTGTTTTGTCGATGTGTCATGATGGAAAGTAGATATAGCTAATATCTCACCTTGAGAGGACTCCGAGTGGACTTTAGATGGCTTTATCAACTTCAATGTGAGGGGTTAGAGACGTCAATTCTCAAACGATATAAATTGAGGGGAATGCTATAGCGCTAATGGCTTATTTACCTTCCAAAAGTATATTTTAGAGATAAAATCGGAAGTAGACGTACAGCCTATAGCCACAAGGACAACGAGAGCAAATGACACCAGAGAAAGAAAGTAAGAAAGAATAACAACAGGTTTGCATGATGATTTACCCATATAGCTGTCATGAAATTTAATATTCTGTGTAGAAGTTAAATACATAAAATGGGAAAAGAACCCAACTAGATTGAGAACTTATTATGGAACAAAATACAACCCACGAGATCCTGCATACATTAAATCACCACGACAGAGCTTGGCTTAAGTAAAGCTCCACTGATAACTACCTCATAAAAATGACACCATTTGAAGCAGAAGATTACACCCCATTCCATGTCACATCAAATAGAATGACCCTCAAATCTGAAAGGTCAATATTTTTTTTAAAAAAAGAATAGTTGTGAAATCCAGCCAACGAAGATAGATTTTTGTGTTTTATTGGCTTGCTACAGTTTATCTTCAATAGGCTGATATTTTGTCTCTTTACGCCTTGGAGGTCCTCCACATGACTTGTTATAATGTAACCATAGTGGTGCCAATGCTAGCGGCTACATATGCAGTACACTGAAATAGACTAATATTTCCTCCACGTTCAATTTTGCATGATCTCCAGCATTTTCTCCAAATCGTCGCCATCGAGTAGCGAACAAAGGATTCACCTCCACAGCCCAACCGACTGATCAACGACGTCCAGCCCCTATCCACTCAATTCCCATAGCTTCTTCGCCTCCTGACAATCCTCAGAGTGAACCATAAATTCATCATGCGAATATACTTTATCCCTCAGATCAGCAGCCTCCAGCTCAACCCTTGGCCCAGACAGTGCCTTCTCCAACGCAAGCTGGCACCCACTACAGCAGACACCTCTCTAACAGCGCCACTCTCAGAGTCGACGTACGGTAAAGCCGTAGATATCATATAAGACACGTGGATTGAACGTCTCAAGCGTCTTACCTTCACCCTCGGGATATACTCGAACGTCAGCAACCTCACAAGGCTACGTCAGCCTGTTTAGCCAGACACGTGATTTAGGGGATATTCCCTTCAATTCATGGCAAGATGGAACTTGCAACCGGAATATCTTCCATTATTTATTCCTAATGCAAAGGATAAGCTTAATGTTCAGGAACCCCAGTACTGTACTGAAGAATTGTCATGCGCGCACATATGTCAGAATCTTTGGGATGTTCACTGAAGACCTCTCCAGCATCTCCGTGTGTCACATCAGTCCACAACGGGCTTTGAAGACTCCGGTGGATTTTACCACAAGTGCCATTATTATGGTTATGTGGGCAGTTCTGCCACGGATGGCTTCAATTGGTCTTGTATTATCTCAAGAACGCGTTTCATGCGGAGACATCTTTCGCACATTCCCACAGCCGGGTAACGGGTGGAGTCTTCTATGTGCTTTTCGTAGTAGGAAGAGGACCGAGGTCTTTCGCAAATGCTGCACAGTAACTTTGCAGTAGAATCGGGTGGTGTTCGTCGGCTCTTAGGCAAAATGCCCATTCTTCTCAACCTGTAACCTGTTAGAGATCAAGCCTAGCAACAGAAGACTGTACGGTACGTACCATCTTTTTATGTCGCCCATCTGATGTATCTAAACCTTTAACTACCTCAGGTTTTTTAGAATGCAACACGGCCGGTCTTGACAAATGACTTGAGCAAGATAGTTTACTATAAATCCAGGGGTTTGTGCCAGCCCCAACACCCGTAGCCATGAATTTAAAACCATTCGCAATACATCTCCTTTCAAGCTAAAATAGGAGATAACCGAGCGTTAGACTTTATTGAACATATCTAAATCGTGCTATCAACCATATCGAGGTGTTTTTACAATATATGCACACGGATGAACAGGGCTGGTGAATCGGTTTGGTGAAACGGGAAAGTTGCGCAGGACTTGTTGAGCTGCTCGGCAGGTTCAACAATGATGAACGATTCTTTAGATGTTAGGGCATGAACTAGATCGCGAGAACAACCCAGGAAGTTGGGAACAGCTTCAGCCAGTGACACTTAAATGGACGGGCTTGCCAGAAAGCAAAGAAGACTTTAAGAGTTTGCAAGTGTCGTGCTGATACAAACTATGGCTCATCCCGAGATGACTATGTCCAGCAATGAGAAGCGGAGCTTTTGGAGAAAGAAATGTCGAGCCGCTCTTGCAGACCACATATGTATGTTCTACGCAAAACCTTTTACAAGGAGATCCCCTTATCGGATAAAGACTGATCCACTTACGATGTGTAGCTCAAAGGCTCGGGTTAGAAATTCCACCCGATAAGATTCGTCTGCAGCCTGGACCAGAAGACCTATACGACTGGGTTGTCACAGATAGTACAAAGCAGCTATTTGCCGCCAATATAAGTAGTGCAAGTGTTCGCACTCTCCAGCAAATATGCGCTGCCCTGGAACGCGGTGACCTGATAGAAGCGGTCCATCGAGAGAGATTGCAAGAGAGCCCCCCTCACAAGGTAACTACGCAGTAACCCCGAGAGTAAGAAGCAAGCTGACCAGAGCTTATAGGATCATCTCAATGGCGAACCAAATAAAACTGGCTTCACTGCCACCATCGAACAACTTGAGCGCGAGAATGAAGAATTGACGCTCAAATACGAACGGTATAAGCGAGATAAAGACCAGGAAATAATGAACTTGCAAAAGATGAACAGCGATGAACATGAACGGTTGCGCACTGAGGTCGATCAATGGAAAGCCGGGGTCGAGGAAATTTTGAATAAACAGGTGACAGCGGCAGTAGAAGTCATTCAGAAACAGCTGGCTACTCTTTCCCAAATAGCTATTGAGGTCTTTAAGCCTAGGGTATAATACGAACTCAGTAGCAGCTGTTATGGGGACATGAGGTTTCGCCGACATCACATTACTATAAAACCATGCTCATACCGCAGATTTGTTGGTCGCATCAGGCTTTGGCTGAAGGGGAAGGGCGAAGATACTGCATGATATGTTACGTCGCCTTAGCATGTGTATGAATGATATTCGTTCTCTGAACAGTTCATAATTAAATTGCCAATTGAGAACTTTGTTCTTCTAACCCGAAGAGACATTTGGAACCCATTTGGCATGGCCCTTATAGGCTTGCAGCTCCGAGCCGTTCTGGGAAGCCCAGAGCTTGATGGTCTTATCGTGGGATCCTGACACGATAATCTGGCCATCCGATGACCAGGCCATCAGCAAGACTCATTTGACTACAGTAACTATATGTCAATTGAAATTACTTCATACGAACGACTCCTAGGAGTTAGCAGCATGGCTTCATTTATGCATAGTCATTCTTGCTTCACAATGTAGGACTGCACATCACCTAGTTACATGATTCCAACTAGTCCATCTAATGACGCAAGCGAGAGATCCAGGGTGAAGCTCCACTAATGTCGGCACATTCCTCAAGAGCATTCAGTTGATCCCAGGTTCGATTCTTAATCTCGAAGAGTCCTTGGCAGTAAAACATGACACTATGAGAGGAGAATGATGCATGTTGTGCGACCACCGGCTAGGGTGAATTGCCTAAGGTTACTCATGGCTTCTGTCCAATAGCGAAGGCCTTTCCGAATTGTGACCGAACAAGAGATAGCTTAGCTTGGACAATAGCCAGGCATAAGCGCTAATTGGTGCTGGGACAAGCAGAAGAGCGTTTTGTCTACCACCACAAATTTCTTCTGCGCGAAAAGGCATTCGGCCAGAGCATTTATTCGTGAACCCTGCTTTGGAGCTTTACGTTCAATCCCAGCCCGAAGACAGCTCTCGGCTTAAGCAAGGTCGTCCAACTCAAGTTATGTATCTGCCAAGTTACATGCAAGATAACTTGTACTCCTTTAGACTCACGGCTTTGCGTAGGTGATCGGCTTTCGTATGCCCTTCCGCGTCTTGAATTCATTATGACGCTTGCCACCGCGACTTTATTATCTAGTAAATTATCATCCAGCTTTTAAAAGCCTCTTCCAACATACCAAACTTAGGGATCCAAGAGCCCTTTAATATTTCCCGCGTGTGTAATTATGCCCTGTGGCTGTGATGGAAGCGTATGCATGTGGTCGTAGCAAATTGTAGAATTCGTACCTAAAATCTCTACCCGGTTACGGCCTCAGACCGGCAGTTGAACATGCTCCCTACCATCCTCCCCGACCTTGTCTCTTTCATGTGTGAAGAAAAACCATAACGCTTACTGAGATATTTCCCTAGAACTGGCAGCATCGATATAAGCGAATAGTCTTAAACAAGGAGAATGTACAACACATATATAGCACTAAAACATGCGAATCAAACAGAATAAATAGAAGTTTATTCGTTCACTTGAAACCACCCCTCTGCCCAAGATTGCATCCATTCAGTTTTCAGGCTCTCAAGGCCACGCAGAGTCGAGCTAGTTTCCGAAGCCCGAGATAAATCAAGATTAACAAAGAGCTCTCGTTCCAGGAGCGCTTTGTAGAAGTGGAGCAGTTTAATTGCTGGGTTCCAAAGGAACAGTTCCGCTGCGGAGAGCGTCGAGCTCACTCCCGATGTTACAAGGGCACTTTTCTCGAGACGATTCGCCCAACTAGGAAAAGGAACTAGGTCTATATGTTTCTCGAGTCCAGCGGACAAGGCAGCATGAACACTTGGCAGCATGTCCTTCCACTCTGTGGGACGAGGGTGTGCAACATTAAATACGGAAAATCCGTCGTTACTGTCGCTTCCCAACGAACAGGCTAGCTCGATGAGAATTTGTGAGACTTGATCCAGAGGTATCCAGTCAAGAATGTTCCCTCGTGAGCGAGATAGACCGATTGTGATAGGTAGTGCACCAAGGTATTGGGAACTAATCACGAGGCTGGGAAACCATTCTTTTTTGTTCCACCAAACGCTGTTCTGCACGCTCCCGGCAATTTGCCCGACCCTTGCAATTCCAACTGTAAGGCGTAGCTTATCTGCTGCGTATTGCAAGGTTCTCTCAGCTATGTATTTGCTCTCCCCATACCCTCCTGGACCTGCACTCAGCGGGAGAGATATGACCGCCTCAGGTACTTGCTGTCCAGCATTCTCTACTTGGGAGTAGTTGGAGACCGCGGCAACAGAGGAAAGAAACAAAAGGCATGGATGACGATAGGCGTGAGCAACCAAGCGGACAAGGTTCACGGTACCGCTCAAACTTGGCTGAAAAGACTTGAGGGGCTGGTTGAAGTTTACCGGCCAAGCATTGTGAATGAGGAGGGTAACGCTGGCACGCAACGTGTTATATACCACGTCACTGAGGCCTAGCTGATGCTGGGAGAGGTCTGCGTGCAAAAATGTCACTTTTGAGGCCTCGAAAGTACTGGGTAAGCCCCGCTCCTTGTTGCGAGACTTCTGGACGACCTCAGAATCAGGATGGCGATTGAGGCAGTAGACATGCGAGACGGATGGATCACATAGCAAGAGGTGTAGCAGTTGAGCACCAATAGACCCCGTTGATCCTGTCAGGGCAACAACTGCCCCGGGAGGTGGCCCCTCGCAGGGTATAGCATGGCAAGGCGTGGGCAGCAAAGCTATCCGATCCACCTCTGTTTCGTAACAGTCCAGGTAGTGTTGGATCTGCTCGAGACGGCCCGTGTCCGAGATATCGCCTGTATCATCCTGTTTGCCACCCATCCCACCATGACTTTTGGGAACAAGCGCCGCGATACGTGATATGGAGGGACATGAATATATGTCGACAACTTGCAGGTCGGATAGCTCGGGGATAGCCTGAAGCTTGCGTGTCAGCTGCAAAACTTGCTGAGAATCCATCCCGCATGCAAAAAAGTCCGCGTCATCCAGTAAAGTGTCTATGTTCATAATACTTTTCACTCTCTCACGAATATTATCTTTTATACTCGCGGTATCTGACACCTGCATCGGTGGGCTTGCAGGCTGGTTCAGCGAATCCATCTCCGCTGTGAATAACTCCCAGGTCGCCGTCCTTTGTACCGTTCCTTTATCAGTACGGACAAAAGGTTTGGACGCGTCGGTGAAAATGATTCGATCCTTCACGATCTTCGCATGTGCTGGGCAGAGCCTGTTAGCCTCTCTAATGGTCGGCCACAAGTGGTTCACAAAATCGGTTCTGTCTTGCAATGCAGGGGCGTCTCTCTCCTCCAGCTCAATAAGGAGAATTGCCTCCTTCATTTGATATCCAGCCACCAATGCGGAGCGAACTTGCGGATGAGAGCAAACATGCTGCTCAAACGAGACTGGGTTTGTCTTTTCGCCATTCAGGAACACAATGATGTCATCCTCATGGCCATAATAGACCCATAGCTCCGGTTTCGATGGGTGTGCTTCAAATAGGTCACGGGTATGATACCTCTGTGAAGTCGGAAACAGGGAAAATACCGGCTGATAATGATCTAAGTTTTGTTGCTTGACGATGGTCAATTCAAACGTGTTTCCGAAGCGATGCTGGAATTCAGCCCCAAACGACGGGTGAACTTGGAGGTTGTTCCAGTCCTCCAGACTGCCCGGTCCTGACTGCAGAACCAAAGGAAACAGACCACACTCGCTTGAGCCTAGCAGCTGGTATAATCGAGTTTGCCCAGAGACCACGTTTCCCGCCCACTGTGGTATGCTACCACCAATATACATGACGTGATCCAGTTGCATGGCAACTTCCTTGAGCACCTTATCCTGTTGGGCCAATCCCGTAACGATGCTGGGCGGCAAAAGCGCCCAGTCTAGATTGACACTGCGAATCACATTTTGAAGACTGGTAATTGTAGGGGGGTTCCCTGGCAAGGGATAGGTTGGAACACAGCCAAAATAAGCTGGGAGTAACAGGGTGAATGTGAGCCCGGCAGCCTACCGCCGATATTTTAGCAGCCATACCGATGAGGTTGCCACGCGAGAAACTTACGTGAAAGGGAGGCAGCATACAATAAAAGCTCCCAGCGTGGTAGAGATGGCCCGGGTCATTCTTTTGGTCGCTTCTTTCCGTTCCGAGAGATGCTGCCAGAACCAACCGGCGGACAAATTCATGCGTATAGACGATGGGTTTGGGGAAGCCTTCTTTCGGTTAGCTTAATGATCGGTGCCGTTCAGATGCTATTCTCACCGGTGGACCCAGAAGTATGCAGAACAAATATTGGATCATCCAGGTTGTAGCTGATGGAGGACTCAAAGCTTTCTTCTTCGGCGTAGTTCTTTTTCAGTAAGTCCTCAAGGCTTGGTAGAGTCAGCTTGATCATCACGTGGCCTTTAACAGCGTCAAGCACACATGGAGGCTCGGGATCCGTGGTCACAAGAACTCTACATTTGAGCTCAGTCAGGAGCGACTGGAATCCAGCAGTGCTATTCCGTGGCGACGGTAAAAAGATCTACAAAATGTTATGAAAGTTCTTCGAGGAATAATGGGCGCACGAACCTTGTAACCTGCCTTGATAGCCGCAACAACAACTATGGAGTATCGTAGATCGGTCGGACCAAGATACGCTAATGTATCAAAGCAAGACTCCTTTCCCAACGACTTTGTCAGAATCCGAGCCACGGAGTCGATCGCACTTGAAAACTCTCCATAAGTCACTTTCCGATAGATCGGCTGGGGTTGGTCGGCAGCGATACCGGCCTGGTGGTCATCTTGCATAGGACAAATTGCCCATATTCTCCCCGGGTCGGATCGTGCGCGCTCTTGGATACTGTCAGGCAAGCACGGTGGCGAGTAGTCGGAGGTTGTAGCAGCCATGGGAAATTGGTTGATGCAGGAGATTAGAGGATAGAGTGTGAAGGTAGATTCACCATTGTGGAAGGTGATGGAGGGCGATTCTTAAAAAGCCCATTCACTTGTATATCACCTACCCAACGTTCCTTGGCCAGCTCTAAGGACACGGCTGGACGGACTAGACAATTTTGGGATGAAGACGAAAAAACTTGACCCCATATTCTAATTGTCAGCTCCATCAGGCAACTCCAGTCTTACCGTTCAAGCTAGACCTTAAACGGAAGCGAAAACATAGGGTTGAACACTTTCAACATCTCCTCTTGCCGACCGGTTGATCTGTGTTCATCATCGCGAAAAGGCGGTTGAACGTTATGGACTATGTAAGTTCGTTCAAATCGTTATGAGTTCAATGAGAGAAGGCGCTCGTTTTTGTGTCTATTTCCATCTTCTCGAAGAGAAAAAGTATAAACAAAAGACTTACGTTTCGGGTGGCCACCGTTCAACACTGTGGATATTTCGAGATGCTTTCCAATGCACTGTAGTCTTCATATTTCTCATTGTCGCTAGCCAGCGCGAAACCTTCGGTGGTCGTGCAGGTGGTAAGGATGTTACCCACACATCATACACATTCAATCAAGTCCCATGTAGCATTCGGCCGACCTTCCCCACCATTGATCAACAACTGAATACACCCCTGTAGCGTTGAACCCTTGCGTTCTGTTCGTCCAAATTTCACACATTCGGCACCCAGCCTAAAATTGTACCAGTTAAAAATATCCGCACGAATCACCACGGGTATTATGAGTGAGTTCGGTGAGCAAATCTGCCGATGGCGGAGGGTGGGGAGATCTATCATCACATGACAAGCTGTAAGGCATTCTCGTTCGGATGTTATTCTCTGTGCAAGGGATTTCATTGAAGGCATTGTACAAGCATTTTACTAAGTCACTAACACGCATAAAACATGGACAGGTGAACAATTTATTTGGTCATGTCCAACTGGCTCCTAGGTACTTGATCTTCTCACTTTACGTACTTATGAGACATATGTAGTTTTAATGTCGCAGATGTCATTCAAGAAGCAATGAAAAAGGTTATACTTCGCTTCATATAGCTGCTTTAGTTCTTTCCGTCCTTCCGGCCAACTCAAATCAAAAGCCAAATTGCAATTTATGTCAGCTTGGAATCGAGACCAATGGAGCCCCCGTCCACTATCAGCGAACCAATCACAACCCTCCCAGCACCATTGTTGTGCACCATCTGCGCTAGAGACTCCGACAACGAGGGCGAACCATTTTATTCTGGGCATACACCCAATGCATATTCTCAGCTCCTCCCCCCGATACACCCCCCTTTACAAGCGACCATAGCATGGAGCAAGAGCGTCAAGCTATACGACTGCTACGGGAGCTATTTCGAGATCCGAGTATTTTTGCCTCAGGACAGCATCATCTATAGGACCAAAGGGCTGGTCGCTCTTCTCTTCGAGGAGGCATTCTCCACTCTTCTAAACGAGGTCATTATACGCAACATGAGTGTTATTTACTATGGTGACCTCCCGAAGGGCTATATATTGAGCATCAGGATGAAGTATAATGCTCCCTGTCTTGAAGGTTTTATGAGCGGTCCGGATGGCGAGCCACTAGCAGCTGCAACTGCAGGTTGTGGTTTTCAAACAGCGCATGGGGGAGTGACGTACTCGGAGCGTCTTTCAGATGCAAACACCCACTGTGAACTAGAGTTGGAGAGTAATGATGTCGGAAATTATCCTTCGGGCTGATCGAAATTTCCTGTCACTGATCTAGCCCACGGGAGAATGGATGTCATGGGATAGCGAGGGATGGGCCTTGTTTCATATTTGAATTATTGAACTCTCAATATCTATCATGTTCTGATGAGTTGAAATTAGATGATTTTCAAGGATTTACCTCTGTCATGTCACAAGCAAAGATGTGCTCCGACCACTTTAGAAAGGCACCGGGTCGGGTAAACACTCGAGTTTATCCATTTTTGATGGGCTTATTCATTTCCAATGTGATTCCACATGGGACCAGGGACTATCCTTCGCATAATATCATCGTGTATTATTAAATTATTGATTCCAAGAATCCATTTAGAGCCACAGAGGATGTACGGCTGATCAAAAGATGCCGGACAGAAATATATAGCGAGAGAGAGAGAGGTGGCGTAGAAGGAGGTGGACCGGAGTCGAGGCTAAGAGTAAGGCAGGTATTGGGGCTAGTGCTAGTATAGCGAACTTGCAATTGTGAGGGGTCAATTATTCTTCTTTGCTTCCTTTTCCGTGCAGAAGAAAAGAAGAAACAGCGCCGAGATGAGACGAAGATGGAATAGGGTAGCGACTCGAAGGAAGTGGGCGGGAACAATATCGCCGAGGTGGAGGGCGGCGCTTAACAAATGAGGTTGCAACTGTGCTATTAAAAAGACACTCCACCCCATGCCCCTTACCCCCCGGTTTCTTGAGCATGCCCTCTGTTTCCAATCCCCAAGCTCATCTAAACCCCCGACGATAATGAAATCTAACCCTTCAACCCACGCTTCAAACAGCCCGAAAAGACCCAAAACTTCGATCCAGAAGGCGACCGTGATTAAGTTCGCGGAAGTGAACCCCAAGCAGACCAACAACAATATCGAGCAAGGGACTCTCAATAAAATTGAAAAATGCCTAAGTCGTGCCAGTCACCCATCCGCAAATGAAGCAGAAGCGAAAGCCGCCCTGTTCCTGGCCCATAGGCTGATGGCCCAGTACAACGTCACGCACGCAGATCTGATCGCCAATGACGGCGTCGCGGACAAAGCGCAGTATGGAGGCCGGAGTGTGGTTTCGATCCAAAACGCCATCGATCGCACCAAGCGAGCTAGAAAAGAGACGTTCGTCTACAAATTAGCCGGGGCATTGTGTACCCTTTATGATTGCAAATGCTATTCGATGGATAAGCACACCTCCATTGAGTGGTCGTTTTTTGGCATTGCGGCAAACACTGTCACGGCAGCAGGGGCCTTCGAAGCGGTGCATAACAAGACGCTCCAATGGGCATGTGCGTACAAGGGAGGGACGCCCACTTTCAGCTATCGCATTGGCCTTGCGGATGGGCTGATGAATATGGCGTATCGGACCAAGAGGAGAGAGCTGGTTGAGGTTCAGCGAAAGGAACTGGATATGATCGCTGCCAGCGATCGAGAGAAAGAACGACAGCAAAAGAATGGACTGGATCGTATTCAAATGTTGCTGCCGCTAGAAGTCGATGATGATGATTTTACGGACAATGACTCTGCGCCAGTTATTGAAAATCCCTCAGACAGCATGGATGTCGACGAGGCCGGGCACACCAGGGATGTGGGTGGAAGAGCCGATTTCAATGAACATGATGTCGATCTGATAGACCTGGCAGGGGACGTGGACGACAATTTGGAGAGATTGGTTAAACGAGAACAGGCAGAGACCTTGAATATGGGCAACGTTCTTCAACATCCGGTACAATCTGAGCCTTCGGGTACGGCTATCAAGGACGAAGATTTCTCGGCTTCTCCATGGGCCTCGGAGATGCAGCTGGTCCAATTCCGTGCCATGTCCGAACAAATTGCAGAAGACTATATTAAGAAGCGAAATATCAAGCTTCAGACGAGAAAGTCTCGACCTGTCGCAGTTCGACACTTTGACTCTTATCGTCAAGGCTGGAAGGACAGCAGCAAGATTAATATTCCACTTCCCCCTACTGTGGCTTGAACTTAACAATAATTAAGATTTGTTGTTAGTTAATCATTTAGTCCATTGCTAATCTGCATGATATCTGCAAGTATACCAGGGCCGACATGTATAAATCTCACCGCGGTATAGTAGCGTCCTTTAATTCTTTTATATGACTATTTTGATAGAGTTTTACTATTATCCAAGTGCGATATATATATATATCGATATCTTTATCCCAGGTTATGGAGCAACTCAATCTATCACCTAATATGAGTTGAATCAATAACCTCCTTCAATGTGGTACAATATAGTCTTGATCTTTGATACCCATCGTCTTCTTCCTTCTCCTGATCAAGTCTGGGTATATTCTCCCCTATCGTAAAACAGGATAATCTCGCGAATATACAGGAGATGATCAGTCACATAAACGGCCTCGAGCAAGCGAGCCAACGCAGGAAACGCCTCCACAACTTGGTCCAAACCATTAGGGGCCATTTAGAGGACTTCACCATCAACGTCACTAGAGCGCGGTCCTTAGCAAATCACGCAGCCAATGAGGAAATGACCCGATTTATTGCCAAAGCATTCAGCTAGAGATCAATAAACTCAGCCACCTTATGAAAGACGAATCCAGTCATGCGTTATATGATGCCAAAAAAAAACACACTTTCAATCCCAGCAGGGAGAACAACTCCAATTTACATTTCGCACCTGGAGCGCAGAAAATGTCCAGACAGATATCTTTCTATGCCACTACTATAGAAAATCTAAAATGACGATGAAGGGTAGCAGCGTACGGATCAGATGCCATAGACAAGGTTTAGTAACAAGCTGATACAGGGAGACATTGAGGAACGTTTAACGTTACTTTTATAGTACTCTCCAACGAATGGATGTACACAGGATGATATATGCAGATATCTTCCATCTGGGAGCGGTCAGATTCCATAAATGTTATAATAGCACCCTCGATATGACGCGTCTCCCACCCCCGAGGTTGCGAGCAATAGGTTGGAGCCCCGGTAGTAATGGTCTCGAGTTCATGACCATACAGTTATTTTTCCAATCCAGCATGAGGTGTCCAACATGTTTCTACACAAAGTCTTCTGAGACCTTCATTTGAGCTGTTCCATCAAACTTTTCCGTAGCCAGGTTGCCAATAAAGGAATAAATGCCCATTGAACCAGACCGGACTGCCTTTGATGGATCAAACGAAGGGGATATTTTTCTGCATGGAGGAATTAGGACGTAGGCGTCGCTGCGACAGCTTTATACCTACCTGTGCACGAATTTGACAGGAACGTCTCAGCGCTGCGCGGGGCTGCACGCAATGGAAAGCTGGGTACGGCAAAAACTAATACTAGCGGCAAATACGGTGGGAGCACTATACGACGACAACGCTCTACTGATTCATGCGGTGTATAGTATCCCGGGTCAACAAGCGCGGTTTTCCTTCTCCTGGACTCCTGCGGCCTTGTGAATTTCCAAGATCCAATTGGTGAGTCTGCAATGTGGTGGGTGATACGGCAAGGGATACTCAGGTCAACCTGACAGACTATGTATGTACCACCTCTCTTTTCTTCTTTCCCAAACCCTTCCGCCAACACACCCTATACCGTATATGGCCAAGCCCCTAGTATATAAAACCAACTAACCTGGAATAGATCTTATAAATTTGGGACTTTCTGACTTGGCTTTAAGGCTTGGGAAGAAGGAAATAAAGTGTGCATATGCCAAAGATATGTATCTATACAATACAGTCCAACAAGAGCTATGTAGCCAAAGAGCGCCATACGCCCTCCTACTTCTGGTCTGTGTTTTCAATCGTGGTACATCGAGCTTGTTCTTTGACCCGTGGGTGAATCCAACTGGAAGGCGGTATAGCGCATTTTTGGGAATAGGCGAGCACTTCGGTTTTCAAACATGTGGGTTGAGAAACAACAGACTGACCCACCAGTCATCCTGACAGATCTCAGCTAAGAGACTCCCTCCGTAGCCGTTTGCCATAGACACAAAGCAGCCACGGTATCGGCAAGAGAAGCAGCGAGGCGAAGGCAAACACCGCGCTGGCCCAATTGATTCCCATTTTTTCGTACATTTGCACCGTAAACAAGGGAAATACCGCCCCTAGTGTGTACCGCAAAGCACCGTTTGCCGCGATAGCTAAGCTAATATGAGCCTACACCGATAGAGCGAAGGGGAGGGAAATGGCTCACCAGACGAAACACGTTCGGCCGGGTATATATGGGTAATGTAGGTGACGGCTGAAAGCTATGGGACTGATGTTATTGGATGTTTGTGTTCCGGACAGGTGCAGCACTCACAAACAGCGCAAAAACCCCCCATCCCAGGGGAATACCTGCGGCCACGACAACAGCCCAATGACCACCTTGGCGAGCTGCAAGCGCGTACCTGACGCTATCAGCTTGGCCACTGTTTAAACCTCTGGCGTCAATGAATCACTTACCATACTTCACCGAGGAGCATCAAAATACTTCCTACCATACCGGCATACAGCCTTTTTTCGGGAGGCACGTGATCCATGGACCCAGTGCCGTTTCTTGGACAGAATCTTTTGTCAAAGTGGACGCACATTATGATGGCGCAAAAATAACCTATGACGAGGCTCAGAAGACTTAAACTGGCTTTCTTAGCATCGAATTGGTACGCTGAACTCAAAACATATAGTATGCTTGTGAAGTAGCTAAAAATGATAGCATAACCAAAGGCGGTATGTAGAGTCAGCGACAAGACGATCCAGTCGTTGCAGAGCATTTTGAAGGGCAGACAAATGGCCCGGAGTCGGTTGTCAACTTGGCCTCCGGTCACCACGACATTGTCACCTTGATGCATGGGCATCGGCTTGGATGTCTCCTGCATCAGTATCACCAAGAGCCAAATAGGTATTCCGATGAAGAGTGTGACCCATTCTGTCCATCTCCAGTCGCCGTCATGTGCCGTCATCGCATATGCACCGACAATCGGGGCAATGCTGGGAGCGAGAAAGGGGCCTAGAACAAACAGAAGAGAAGCTGCCCCTCTCTGTTGGCCCGCAGGCCATAGGTCGACCACAGTTCCGGCGCCGATAGCAATACCAACAGATCCCAGGAAACCTCCCAAGAATCTACAAACCAGGAACGTGGCCAAATTACCAGCGACAGCCGCTCCGGCGGTGAATGCAAGAAGGCAGGACGACGCAACGATGTAGACCCATCGGCGACCGTACATTTCTGAAAGCGGTGCTAGTAAGAGCGGGCCACAAGCAAGGCCGACGGTGTAAAGGGTGATGTTAGATATGGCAGCGGTGCGGCCGACGCTGAAGTATTCCATAATACCGGGCAAGGCAGGTTCTGAGACGGAGGTTCCAAATGTACTTCAAAAGGTCAGTTTCATAGGTATGATGCATTATTGATGTCGGTCAACTCACATGACAAATGCGAAGAGCGAAGGACATATGGTGTGGAATATCTTCTTCGTTGGTGCCCAATTTTGTGGCATACATTGGCTTTTGCCATCTAGTACAATATGCCCTAGGTCAGGACTTCTTTCTTCAGGATTTCTCGCATCTCTATTGACCTCGAATGTCACTTTCTTGAATATCCTCATGTCTGTGATAGGACTGGAGGATTCCGGGGAGGTTGCGATCTTTCAACCCGACACATGGTGGGAAACTCAAGGGACTTTAAGCGGGTAACCTTGAAGTGTCCGCACGAATGTCTCCGCGCAGAGAACGTTGAGAGATACACACAACAGATCATAGATTGCCGCTCCCAGGGTAACATTGTTCAACTACAGAATGCAACTTGTATTGGGATTGGGCTGGTGACGGCTTTTGGGTGGGTCAGGCTGCAGTTCAATCGTATAAGTAGTGTTGAGCTTTTCGTGCATAAACAGACCTTGACCGTTCAGCGCAGCACTTCCAGTCAATTCGTCCGTTGCTCAGGATTGTATAACAAATAGCTTTCAGCAATGTTGAGCCCTGCCCCGGCATAATTCTAAGAGTCCAAATCCTCTTCCAGTATAATCGATACAAGGAATACATGACCGAAGGTGAGCGTCTCTCGGATTATTGGCAAGTGGAGGAACTTAAAAAGGAATACACATCCCCCGCCGCTCTGCTCTGTATTTATATGTCTTTTCCACTATAATTCCAACATCAGATTACCCTCAAAACATACGCATTGCATTTCGCATATCTCACTATTACAACATCGACATGGCTGAGCGCGAAGCAGTCAGTTTTGCCTCTACCCCAGTTCTTTTTCTACATGTCTGTGCAATATTATATTTTGGTCTTGCCACAGCAAATCTTGCATGCGGGCTGCTAGCTCTTCCTCTTGAAAAAGTCCAAAAAAGTCTCACCGACATCCTGCCAGTCATGGCCTTCCTGATGGCTATCACGTTGTCTTCCTACTCTTCTCTAAGAGGCCGTCTCCGGCGGTTGCCACCAAAACAAGAACAGATGGGGATTCTACTCGTCATCGCTAGCTCAGCAATCTCATTCGTCCACTTCCAGTTCTATCATGCCATATTCTCCCGCATGGTCTACACAATCTTGCTTGGCTCTGTTGGCATCTATGCTCTTCACTTCACTTGGCACCGAGAAAACGCCAATTTCCCTCTGGTCTGCTTTTTGCACGGAATCTTTGCTCTGATCCCTGCCCTACACGCAGCCTGGTTTTCAATGGTCGGTCTGGGAAACATTACAAAATGCTTTTTCTTATACTTGGCGTTCAACGGTATCGGGGGCTTGATCTACATATTCGCCATCCCTGATAAAATCTTGGGCCTTCCAGGAAGACCTTTTAGTGAATTCATCATGCACGCCTGCATCATTTTCGGGACAAAGCTCTTACTCGCGAGGTTTATTACCTTGTACTCTCTGGGTGAGGATGGATCTGTTGTTGAATGCTGGATATAGCCGTGGGAATAGACTCTATCTGCCTGGAGCTCCCTAGTATGCTCACCACCCAAAGTGACGCTTATCCCTGTTTGCAATACATGTATCCCCTTCGTGTTCGATGCCTCACAGATAATTGAATATCAATGTATAAAGTGACTCCGACGTCATAGATATATGCCACTATCGCGTCAAGATGGCTCGTAAGTGTAATGTATACATAGTCAGGGATGCAAGTGTAGATTATGGTGTAATGCAGATGCATGCAAAGATCAAAGCTGATCGTCGACCAGTTCAGTTACTGTCCCGTATCTTTTTATTACCATGAATCATTTGGTGCTACAGTACAGTATTCTGTCTTAGATACATCCACTCCTGTCTAAGCTTTAAAATCCTAGACTTCAACACAGTAAGATCATTTTCGAAGGGGCCTAAGATTATGTTAATAGCACTATGTATGTAGTTCTATCAGCACTTTACTAGATCAATATCGGCAGCCAGCACAGTAGGCTGTTAAATCCAATATCTCATTTACAGCAGATATTCGAGAAGGTGGCGGCAGGTATGGCTATTGGTTGTGTTGTAGGATGTCTCAGAAGAATAGGCCGACCGTCCGTGAGCGCTATGTATGGGCTAGTATTTTATTGGCCAGGCCTATACATGATTGAAATCTATATAACCATGACAAAGGCCCCTGTAAATTACCTGTATGCAGGTGTTAACGTTTGTCTTCTGTTCGTGATATAAGCTGACTTCTATCCTTTGACACTGTTTGATCAAGTACATATACTCTCATTGCTATGGTATTATGTACAGAGAATGGCACCACCTTTAACACGCGTAAAGAAACAGCTTATCTGTGACATGATGAAGAATGGTAAGTCTATATCTGCTACAGCACTTGCAGCTGAATGCAGCGAGTAGACTGTTAAGCATATTCGTTCTTGTTGTGAATCGAGGCTCGACCAAGCAAACAATAGAGCTTCGTATATGAAATTTATTCCGGATATAATCAGATTGATTGGAGTTCAATCTGATGTTCATCTTGTCTATAATCCCTCCGGTTTCTATACATATGAGAATAAAACAGTAAAAACACCTTCCTCTGAATCACAAAAATATTGACCGGAGAATCAACGAAGTCAGCCCTAACATTGAAGGTGTTTTTAGGCTATCTACAACCGGAGTCTTCATCCAACCATCGGGCCAATCGTCGAGGATCTGGTAGACAAGACATTGCAGAGCAAGCGTGAATACACAGTAGACAGTGGGTTGAGTAGAATTTGACTTATCGTCGGGGTGAGTCGCGCATGTGTTCTATTAAGAGACGAACCCAACACAAATTCTGTAAAAGAAAGCCAGTGACATATCTCAATTGACCCGTCTACCTTGCACCTATATGTTATGTCAGGACCTTGATGCCACCAAATCCATGAGCTTCCCAAGCTGCACTTCCATATATTTTTGGGTGACCATTTGTTCTTTGATGTCTGTCACATCTTTCTCCATCATGTCTACCCTTGAATGAATAGCTCCAATTCTGGAATCCATCTCGTTGCGGATGGAAGACAGTTCGTCGCTTCCCAATTTCGACCCAAGTGGAGCTTTTCCCCCATTCATGGCTCCGTCGTTAGAAAATTTGAGACCATGCAGCATTTCTACCAGGTCTTGCATGTTTGTTCTTCGCTCTCCAACTTTGGCACCGCGGGAATCGTTCATAGGGACATAAATATTGTTGGCAGTCATTTCCCACGGCAAAGTTACACCATCTCTTTCACTCATATCTTTCATAGCTTTGTTAATAGCATCTTCTGGCCAGAACGCACGCAACGTAGTCCGAGTGATGATTTTGGGCATGATTGATCCATTAAATTTGACACAGAATTCCGTTGTGGCATCTGATTTGTTTTTAAGGGCATTTGCCGATCTAATAGGCACAGTGGTATAGAAATAGATCCAGTCCACATCGATGAACTCTTTCTTGTCGTATCTTCTCCCGGAGGCGTCGAATTTCAAGGCATTCTTGCTCATTCTCCATCCATCAAGGTTAGCAATGCTGGGTTTCAGCACGATTTTGTACTTTCCTTCGTCCTCATCGTAGATCTGGACTCCGAAGGAACTTTTGACTCCGTTATTGATTTTCTTCCTTTTCTCAAAGAGGACAATTTCGGTGCCATTATTCTGATAGTGATACGGCCAGAAGCTGGTTGCATCCATGTTTTCATCCGCGTACCGACGTTTAGGTCCGGTCGGTATATTCTGATCCGCATTTGGAAAGAGCTTTTCGAACCATGCGGGCTGAAAGCCTCTGTCAAGACAAATATGATATAATTTTAGCTTCGCTTCGCGAATGGTTTTGTTGGCAGTCTCATCATGGGGGCTTGTCTCAAGTCGTCCAATTGCTTCCGCGTATCCGGATCCCAGCACATCTGCAATGGCCTTATATGGTATCCAAAAGCCTTGAGTTGCATCAGCATCCCACGTCAGTTTGTCCACTATTTCCGCAGATATTCTGTCGTTTATCTTGTTCAATTCTGCTTCATTGGCTTCAGAGGATTCGGAAACCAGATATCGGCGCAGAGCCACAATGGCGCCTTCACACTTGGCTTGCAGAATTGACTCAAGTGTTTGCTGGGCTTCTTCGCTCATGGGCGAAGCTGAACGTTCTCTCCCAGGACCTCTCCATGAGCCGTATTCAGAATCGTTTCCATTTTCTTTGCTCTGGCTTTCTTGTTCTTCTCCCCTTCCTTCTCCCTTTTCTTCCTCTCTCTTATTCTTCTCCCCCTGTTCCTCCTCTTTACTTCCCTGCTCGCCCGTTTCACCTTGTCCTCCTTCATCTTCCCCTGTCTCTCTCACACTCCCACTACCTCCACTTCCGTTAATATCCACGCTTTCTTCCTCTCTCTGATCCTTCTCCCCCTGTTCCTCCTCTTTACTTCCCTGCTCGCCCGTTTCACCTTGTCCTCCTTCATCTTCCTCTGTCTCTCTCACACTCCCACTTCCTCCACTTCCGTCAATATCCACGTTCAGAATCTTTGCGGCCTCCTCAATCCCTAGACATGGTTAGGCCACAATCTGTATTGTTTTTATGTCATCTTACTTAGCAGAAGGGTTTCTGTGTCTTCAGGATTCTTGAAAAGAACAATTTCCCTTAGGGAAACCAGACGCTCCCTCAACTTTTCCGGGTCATCTTTGAACTCCTCTTCTTCGACAACATTGCCCTCGGCCTTTCTAAGAGAACCCAGCTGGCTGTCCACTATCCCATTCAGTTTCTCCCTCTGTGGTGGGCTCAGTTCCTTGCCTTTTTTCAAGGTATCAGGGATCGCAGCGGGTGCATTATTTCTGCCTATGTGCACGAGCAGGCCGGAATTCACAAGCGCCACATACAATTTCGTCTCCTTTTGGATTGTACTAGCCATTTTCGACAGCCAATCACCTAGGAAATGCTTTGATTATTCTGGCACTGATGGTGCTCTATGCAAGCTTTCTAGTGGCTTGGGTGAAGGATATGGAATCTTATATGTCTTCAGCTGTACCTTGGAGGATTGTTCTTGACATGCAAACTTCTATATATATAACTGGAAATTATCCTGCTGATTCTCCTAAGCGCAGTAGACGAGATGATATCACCGCAATTTTCGTTGAACTATTTGAAATTTGGTGACTAGAGGTTTACCTGCCCCTGGAAAACATCGCCTGTCCTTTTTTACTGTCCTTTTTTTTTGGAAAGGAGGGGTCGATCGATGTACAATGAGGTATACCATATAGACTAGTTCTGTCGGGATAGCCGTGGAGTCCTCGCCCCATGTCCCGGTCCACTCAAGCTATATTACATGTATATGGCCTACTGGTGAAAAACACCAGAGCATAGTGTATCCTAGCTACGTATATACCTTAGCCCCTCTAAGAAACCTTGATTTATTAGAAAGAATAGGACATTGAGGAAAGATGGATAAAATATCAAGAATGCTGCGCTTCTGTTCTAGATTCAATAAGAGGCCCTCCTTATCACATCGACTTTTCTTTAGAGGAAATGTAATCTGTCGCTGAATTTAGAGTTGACTAACATCGCCCATCCTTGCTTCCATGGCATAATCTCATCATTTTTCTATATTGTACGTACTGAAAATGTTATGGGACTACTCATGTATAGAAATGAAGGGCTCCATTAAAGCTACAGTCATGGTCATGGAGCTGAGACGTTCTAATTTACTGAGACTTTGAACTCTAGTGTAATTGATTCTCCAATGTACATACTATGTATAAGTAGTTTATGGTCTGAAGGTTCTACATATAGAGCGGATATTGTAGTGTGAAGTGTTAGATCGGAGAGGGCTGATGGTTCCTCCCAGATGCATTGTCACAGTCTCACAGATTTGGATAGCCCTAATAAGCTCCTCCACTAACTCCCGGTAGTACGTTGCATCCTCCGCAACACGCTCAGTTGTCGTTAAGCGCCGTTCATCAATCAGTTCATCGCCGATATATTGATATCCGCGGGGTGCCTTGGTTGGCAGCACATCTGTCACTGTCCTCAATGCGAGAGGGTGTTCGGACGTCTGCGGCAGACTCATCGTCGCACATAGGGAAGAAGGCTCAGTCGGATGGTTCAAAGTAAAAGGACAACCACAAGGATGACTTGACAAACGTGTGAGAGAAATGGACACTACTATATTCATTAGGGAGATGCAGTTGGAGCTCTTTGAAACCCTCGACAGTGATCAGGGGATGTCCTTCGAATGAGGGGTACAGCTTGGCTCATTCATCTTGCTTGCTACCCGCATGAGTCAGGACAGACTAGACATGAAGGTGGGAGCAATCTAATTACATGCACATACGTACGCCAAGACACATAGTTATGCTAACCTGCCGATCGCCTTCATTGTGATGGGTCAGGATAAATGAGATCAACCAACCAATGTGTGAAATTATAGCGTATTTATCGCGAGGATAAAATTGTCGGTGATTGGGTTCCATTCCCATCGCCACACGCTATCTTACGATATTCTTAGTGTTTGATATCTACAGCCCTGCGACTTTGATCATAGACTGTCCCCAACATAATCTGCAGTAGCTAAGCGGTCAGGAGGCTCATCGTGTTGTGGCATCGATGTGCCTCTGGGGTCAATTAATTACTTTTTGAGCTAATGAGCGTGGTACATGCAGAGAATATGAAAGCAGACGAGGATTAAACGAAGGATAACATATGCGGAATACACCAAACAAACCGTTGTATACTTTATTGCTAGTTAATACAAGGGCCGTTTGGCAAAGCCATGAAGGAGGTCCTCCATGGGTCAACCGCGACTTTAAGAAGTCATCATATATTTGTTACATACTAATATGGAAATTTACCAACATAGTGCCAGTCAAAAGGTTCACTCATTTGGAATACGCCTTGTCTTTTTGTGCAGTAGTTGATGTACCTATATCATCCAGAACTGCTCGTTCTGTTTTTTGACTATTCAACAACAATCAATTACAGTACCATGGATGTCTGATGAGCAATTGCCTAGCGCTGTGACACTAGAAGCAAGGGCATTGAGAAAGGTTTCGCTCCTCACTAAACGCAAGCTGTACTGTATGTATGCAGATGTCACTGGCCAATAAGGTCATTTATTCCACTGCAATCGTACTGTATCTTGAGCAATTCTGTGAGGAGACCCATGTGTTTTTCATCAACCCAGCACTTCACAAGGTACTGACGCTTCTTGCCATTCATATCATCTAGGTGCCTTTCATTCACAACAGTGATGTGATCGATCTCGCTTCCGCCGCTCTTATTTTGTTAGTCTAGATTATTCCGAGGGTTAAAAACTTACAGAACTGAATGTAGAATCAGTGTCAGACGCAGAGTCACTGATAGATTCAGGACTCATGCCGGTATCGTTTGGATAAATTTGCAACTGATCAGGGTTGATGAAAATTGGACTTTCCGATCCAAGTCGGGAATTTAGCTGAGATGATAGCTTCCTATAGTCGGTTTCTTGGTATATACCGCCTTCCACGCTGCTGCTTTCCACACTGGGCAAAGGCATATCGTGATCCCAGGTATAGTCTTCCATTATGAGAAAAGTTCAATCAGCGGGTAGACTTGGAAGGTTGCGTTGGTCGTCATCACGGCGAGTGGCGGTGGTATCCTTATTTATACGCCGAATAGGTGCATAATGTAGATACACTATGTTACCAACAGACAAAGTAGGACCATTTGAATGAATACGCTTACGAGTATTTTCACAAGGCATGTGTAAAGGCAGGCCCTCCGTAGCATCCAGCAAGGGGCCAAGGCACCGGGATCGAATTTATCGAAATGTTATGCACATACACTTTTTTCAGAAGGGCATATTCCGTGTTAATGTTCAATAAACCTTAACAGCGAGGCTTGAAGGCAAGCCATAAGGGTTATATAGTGCGTTAGTTCCGTTTGGATCATTCATTGTTCTAGGTTGATGACGAGTCTGGCAGCTATCAAACGATACATTTCTTGAGTCCAATGCTTGATAATAGAGATAGTCTATGCTACAGTGCAAATGCCACTCTTATGACAGCACGTCGGGTGAGACCCAAGTCGGTCCAATTAACCAAAAAAGCTCCAGAGCAACAAGAGCAACAAGGGCAGCAAGAGGCCTTGTCGCTTGGTATAACTTTGAACTATGTGAAAGACTGGAATACGTCGGCGGCATTCCGGGAACTATATCAGAACTGGTATGTTCCGTTCCCCAAGGTAATAGCTATTGTAGTGTCGGACCTGAAAGTGAAATATACACACTAGGAAAGATGCAATTCTTCGATCATTCCAGCTTCATAGTCTCAGCTTCCAGCCACAATATCAAGAGGATGAGGGCTCTCTGTCCATTACTATCCGAGAGGCGGTGTCCCAAGGCTATGGTGACAGTGATCTGGGGTTCATTAGGTACGATGAGAAGTCAGGTAGGCTTCTTCTCGTCAACCACTGTGCGCAGTTGGACCCTGCCTTCCTCTATTTTGGTCACGCGTCACCAAATTCTGTCACTCACCTCGCCGGTTGCCACGGAGAAGGGCTTAAACTCGCGGCGGTGGTGATGGCCCGGTCTGGCTATGAAATGAGTATTTCTTCCGGAGTTTATAAATGGACTTTTTCAGGCGGCAGTGCATCCGATGCGCCCCTTCTCTGCTCTCGGACGTCTAATAGCACGGGTGCCGCCCATGTTTCTCCGGAAATGGAGCACTTGCAGATCAATATGAGAAACAGCGTTTGTGTCAGCATCGGGCCGGAGTCCAAACAGGGAGGCCGGCCGGTCGAAATGAAAGACTTCGAAAGGTGGCTGCATGTGACCATTGATATCCGAGGGCTTAACCACCCGTCATCCATCATTGAGACAGAGTATGGCCATATCATACTGGATCCAAAATATGAGGGCCGGATCTATGTCAAAGGAGTGCTTGTTCCATCCTCATATACCGACACAAAACACTACAAATTGGGCTACAGCTTTTTACAAGGCAGAGTAGGTCGTGATCGGCGTCGGCTGATGAAACATGAGGAAGAGGCGGATTTCATTCGACGAATGTGGGAATCAGCCATCCAGAGGGCCGAAGCATTGGCAGTGCCTGTTTATGTGAATCTTCTTCGAAACTTTTCAAATTTTCGCGATGTTGAGCTTGCCGATCAGTTGCTACAAAAGCCCGCTAAGGATGCGATCTGGAATTATCTCAAACAACAGAGTAATGTGACGGGATTCTATTATTGCGAGAATCATGGCCCTGAGGTAGGTAGGAAATCCGACAGGTCCATAGGGCTCGACTAACATCTTTCCTTAGAGCGGCAGCATCATCCGAAATTGCCTCAGAAGGGAGCCTCTACTTGTGTCAGCCAAACTTTGGACTATCCTTCAAGCAAATAGCGCCGTCCGAACCCCCAAAGAGGAGGCACTAAGCGTCTTCCAGAACGCCCCCCCTTATAAGGCCCCAGACACATCCTTCTCGAAACATGTCCAAAGAGGGTTGGCTGCTTGTTTTGCTTTATCCGATCATACAAAGCGAGTCACATTCTGCTTTGTGCACAGCGAGAACAGTCGTATCGACATGTTTTTTGATCACAAAACCGAGACATTGAAAGTTCACCATAGATGGCTTGACTTTGAAGCAATTCACGAGGGTTGCCCGTGCAGGGCCTTTATGCCCAGCCACATGGTTTTGTCTGTCCCCGCATTTTCCTGCGACCATGTGATTGAGGAATTGGCTCAGGATGCCCTAGGGCAGATGAATGCTCCGGACATACTCTCAAGATCACGTGATTTGAGAGACAGAATCAGGCTTATGCCGCGAGATATCTCCCTTGAATTGGCCCATGACCCCGGGAGTTTGATAGTTCGCTGGCGTGATAATGAGATAGAGTCATTTTCGGAAAGATTCGGGAGCGTGATGACCTATCACATCGTGCTACATGATGGAAAGTGCGTCGGACTGGCGTCTGAGGTTCTCCACAACGGAATAGGTACGCCAAAGTTTACCCGCTCTGATCTGGACACTTCGTTGACAAATCGTGACAGCCAACCCCCAAGTTCCAGCTGCTCCTTGTAATTGCCCACAAGGTTTCTCTCTACAAAATTGCAAGACCGTGACATTTCGCAACTTAGACTGCTCTAAGCAGTACTTTCCCATGGTCGCGCTCAATCAGGATAGAGCTTTTTATGGCGTTCCTCCCGAAGCTATATCACCGTCTGCGCCAGAGCCATCACCCTGGCCAAAGTAAGAGAAGAACGCTAAGCTTGGAGAGCATGTGCAAAGCTGACTAGCACTAGAGCTGATACAAGTTCACATCCCCAGAAACCACAGCATACGCGACGAAAATGTTTCTTGTGGTAGTTATTGTTTAGTCGTCTTCTATATTCGTTCAGCGAAGGCTTCCAAGCCACTCCGCTACATCTCTTAATAATGGAAGACTGCGAAGAACTTTGTTTATAGAGAGCCCTACAGGTTAGGCTTTACACGACTCTTTTCTAGCGCCACTCCCACAAATTAGTCTGGTTAGTCTAGGATTGTAGCATTGTAGCAATTTACGGTGTATAAGAGACGCCGCTTGACAAAACGTATGGCCGCTTCTTGGATCGTGAATACACCAACTTTGTGGGGATATTCGTTGGGCCATGGATTGCCGTCGGATGCCTAATAAAAGCTTTGATTCATCACATGAACCTTGATCATTCTTCTGTGGACTTGGGGGCAGTGGTAGCCCGGAGGATTTCCATGGAAGATGTTCATAAACTATATGCCAAACTTCTCTTATGTGGCACTCAGTATGGATTAACTTTAGCACGTTCTCACATTGGCCATACCTAGTTGACCGATGGGGTGCTTAGTCTTGCAGACATGTCGCCGTAACCTCTCTTTTCAGCCTCTTGAAGATCGCTCTGCATCTTTCTCCCATGATAATCTTATGGTTCCGGTTCAATCCACAGTGTCTCCTTTGACGCACGATACAGTAGTTTGCAGAATCAGATTCACACCTTAGATGTTCCCTCATCTTCACAAAGCATATGCCAAGCCTTGGCATTATATAACACCGTATTATTATGTTGGACGGTACAGTACGAAACCTTTCGATGTTAATTCGACAAATCCCGTGACATCTACCCCGCCTTGCCACCTTTCGGTTTTCCTAATACGGCCAACTATGAACAAACTGAAGATGATCAAATTTCGCAATGGCACCAAGACTTGCTCTGTCTAATGTCTAGTTTAGAGCTTCAAAGTCAAGCAGATTCCTTGCCACCATCGTGTCTACACCCTGGCTTTCTGCGTAGCGTTGATTGTACAGTTTGCTGCAATGAATGCGCCCGTGGTGGTAGCCCCTGCTGTCAGAGGGGGCTTTTTGTTAGAAAATTGGGCAGATTCAACAATGTGGGTTACTGTTTACCACACATGACATTCAACGGGCACTTTCTCGTTGGGGTACATGTATCTATTTCTGTTGGGATATGTTTGCTTTCTGACTGCCATCTCATACGTATCTCACAGAAGAAGTCTCAACAGGAAGGTCTAGAATGCAAGTGGGCATATCAATTCAAGTGATAGCCTTGCTGCCATTAAACACAAGAAACACCGTACTATACTACTGTAACACTGTCGCTTGGGAAATGTCCTTCCATCTTGAACGTGGTGACGTCTGGGTTTCTTGACCGACCCCAGTCAGCACCGTAATACAATTTAATTCCGTCGAGTCCGCTTGAGCACCAGGGGCTGACCAAAGTCCGTACATGGTGCAGCCCGCTTCTGCTTCTGTAAGGGGATTGGCCCCATCGACGCCTCCAACTGTGATGGAACTCTGATGGCAAATTCATCATCGCTGTAGCGCATACAAGACAAGAAGAATTTGGCGTAAGCAGCCGCCGTGGCAGCGGCATATTCCTGCCACTGCTTGTTCTTATGCGAGTCGGCATAATCGCAAATGCCCCGAATCACAAGGCAGTCGGTAGTTCTCATGACTCCCGCCCCCTCCATCTCAACACAGCTCACGCCTTCCCGGCCCAGGCGCTCTCGGTATTTTGCATCTCGAACAACTTGATTGCCAGATGCGATGCGGCCATAGAAAATGTTTGGGCCGTCATGCTGTCGAATCCTCGGCCGTCGACTGCCGATGCATTTGTCACAAGTTGGCTCGTCCTCAACGTGAACATAATCTGAGTCGAATAGCGTGTCTCTGTCCGCGCCTGGGTATTGATATTGCGGTTCATGCGTGGAGATCTGTTTAAGATCGCCAAGAAGAGGATTAACAGCGGAGTCGAAAGACTTGGAGTAAACGGCCTTGATTTTCGTAATGACGGATCGTAAAAAATGCGGTGGTCTTTGTGTGTCTGCCGTCATCCTAAACTCAGAGTCCTGGATCCACTTCCCCATATCGACTTGGATCACACTGGTGCCGACGACGACATCACCAAGGCGTATATCCTGGGCTGCCGAAGGAACCCCTCCTCCAATCCCCACGACCAGACAGAACTTGACTCGTCGGAATGTTCGGGTCAAATGAGAAGCAACGTTCGTGGCGGAATTCATGCCATAATCACCGTCTGGAAGGCCGGCAGCAACCACATTGAATGCTTTTATTCGTCCGAGGCAATAGCAGTTAGGATCATTTTGGTCATTTTCGAGTTCCGAATAAATTGAATCGAACATAGCGCGCACGGCAAGAAGCTCTTTTGGCAGTGCACATACAATCCCTACCTCGTAGTCCTCGTGACTACTGCCTTCAAGCGTGGACATGGACGAAGGCAATCTCCCGGAACCATCGACAGTAGCAGAGGGAGCAAAGCTTGTTCCAAGCCCTGAATCGTAAAAGTCTCCATCTGAATCAGACCCTGAATCATCTGAACTTGGCAACGCATCTTCTTGTTTAGGGGAGCCAGTGTCTTTCCAGCACCATCGAAGGTCTTTATTGTAGCCGAATACTACCCCGCCATGACGCCAACTGCTTGATCGAACGGTATTGTGCTTCGGTATTCTCTTTTTGAACTGTGAAGGCAAGATGACTTGGGCCAGTTCGGAATGGTCTGTTTGTTCCGGACACCCAACGCATTTGCAAGCCGGGGCGCCATTGTCTGGGGAATTGCACCAAATCAAATCGTGAGTCAGTCGGACAGGGTTAGAATGTGGATTTCCAAACCGATCGATGATGTGGGCGAGATCATACCCACTGACTGCAAGGTACGATTTTCCTTCTGGCAATCTGCTCCAATAGAGGCATAGCTGGCTGGTATCAAGTGGGCGAAGGATCTCACCAAAGCCCGTTCCAAATAGCGTTGCCGCACGAATACTTCTAGTGAGATCAACCCAGCTCTTCCCTCGGGTTCCTAGTTTACAAAACCGAGGGTACAACGGATCCTCCTGGGTCGACAAATCCTTGAAATCCCATCCTTCCAGGTTTCCCCGAGCCATATTGCGTGATACTCGGTTGTCCGTCCCCATGATATTTACCTGATGGTCCATGATCTTCTCGAGCAAGTTATACAGACGATCGACTCTATCTCGAAGCTGTGCTGGAGGTAACGTTGTCTCGTTTGGTTCGCTTTGTTTCGCGTGGTACAGTTTTAGAGACAAATTATCAGGGTCCAACAGGATCTCCATAGCAGAGCTAGGAGTGGATGTTTTCTCTGGAACTCTTATGTCGGTAAGATTTAACCGGAATGCAAAGCCAAGTGGATCGGTTCTGTTGAAATGGAGCGAAGCAAGGAGAAGGTGCAATAGAGCAGAGGCTCCATTCACCAACCACCCTCTTTTCTCTCCTGCATCCCACATTACCACGTACTGTCTGGCAATCCACGAAAGCTTTTCAATGTACTCGTCCCGAATTAGTCGATATGGTATGTCTCTGTTGCCGTAGATAGCTGGATCACCGCCTGTAATCAACCTGCCTGCCGCGATAAAGGTGTTCTTCAAGCTGCAGCAAGAGGATGGTGGTTCCAACCAGGACCGATTGATCGAATAATTGGCATCCACTGCTCCTAGTAGCAAGTCAGCTGGTGAAGCCCTTTGTTACACCCTAGAATCATGCAATGACGTACCGGCATAGAATCTTGCGTCTGAACACCATCCCAAGATATGCCGGCTCGACTCCAAATCAGCTAGTGTGATGTGTCCGACATGGGCTCCAATGCCATCTAGATACGAAATGCGATCACCCTGTACGTTATAACACAGGTGCCATATCATCTGATCCTGATCTCTGATATACTCTGTGGGGATCAATAAGTTGGAGAATCCTTTGATGAAGAGCTTATCACTAAAGGCATCCACTTGGTTTGCTTGGACTAGACCCGCCAAAATGTTAAGTGGTATTTCAAGGCCAATGCCCTGTCTGGAACGGTACGGTATGGGGAAGCCCATCACCACTGTTGGGTTCCGGAACAAGTGGTGCCAGCACTGTCCCATGGGCGACGTGGACCTGGATTGCTCCTGATCATCATGTTTGAAATCAATACCGCATGATATTCGCGTGATGGGTGGTGCTTGCGAAGTCGGGATTGAAGTGCCTTCCACCTTGGCGTTGCTGACGAAGGGCGTGCAGTACGATATCCCGGAGGCATGGGGAGAGGAACGGAGAGCAGAGCCGAGCCACGCAAGTTGCTCACCAATCTCTGCAATTGAATCGGCTATTCCAGTGACCTCAACGCAAAACTGCTTATCGTTTACCCATGCCGCAAGCTGTGTATTGTCTGAGAGGATACCTAGAGACATGATTAGCGCCCGCAGTTGCCGATAAAGGGAAATAGTACATCTATGTTCATAGTCGCGCTCATCGAGAAGCGTAGCTTCGACTAGTTGAAGGATATCGGATCCATATAAGTGCCATGTTTGATGAAGGTATTGCAAGCAGGTCATTGCTTGAGCATCCTGGCTAGTCCCTGTGATTGTAATGATCTTCGAAAGGAAGCCTTCTTTACTTAAGTCATGCTCCTGCTCTGTGATGAAAGCACTGGGATCCCAATTGAGAAGGAATACCACCTGATATATCCGTGGCTGGTCATATCGACTGACTCTCCGTGATGATGGTAGGGAATCAATGATTCGGTTGCGAATAGCATCTTGAACGTTGGGCTCCGCTGGGTGCAAGTGAAGCCCCCTCCGAAGACTTCCAAGTAGCCATTCATACACTGGGCTGCCGGTGATTAGCTCCCTATAGGCCGTAAGTCCAGGGAGGTCCTCGTCATCGTCTGCAATCCGTATATCCTCGTCAATACTTGGGCTCTCTTCCCCACTTTGGACTTGTGGTGTGCCGACATCATCGTCTGTATCCTCCAGATGTTGGTCCCATAAGCCCATGATATCGTCTAATTCCATTTTGGTGTCGTCATGTGTTGAAAATTGGGAATCGGTCTGATCTTCTTCTAGGTATTTCATTCTTAAGCTGTTCGCAATTTCTCTGGCGCGGAATTTTATTAGCATCCATGGAGGCGATACTAAGCCTGGGGAAGGACGTACCCTCTATGTCGACGGATGAACACCATGATATCCAGGTGTATCTGAGTGGAGCCAAATTGGCCAAACCTCATTGCAAATGCTTTCAGAAGCCGCGAGAGTATGCCGTGAATTCTTTCCGGAATATGTTGAGTTTCTTGACCATGTTGAATTTTTCTGAATAAATCATCCACCAATTCGCAAATGTAGCTCCTCTGACCTGATGATGAAATGCCAGGTCCAGCTGTGTAGATAGATTCGGTGTCATCGCCGTCGTCGTCTTCTGTTTTCCCCCGGCTTGCTGCCGCCGGAGCTGACGAGAATCCTTCTTCACCAGGGACTGTTCTTTGAACATCATGAATATATTTTGTGCGGTACCCTTCTTGGGGCAGATCCTTCTGGTGGGTAGTGGACGCATATCCAGAATCTGTCGGCTCAATGGAGGTACGTTCCCTCCGTAAAAATTGTGAGTATTCTAAGACGGGGCTTTCGTTCATGCTAATATGTGTAGCATCGGACAAATAACGTGCATTAAGGTCCAGACTGAGCTTAACTTCTCCATTGTCGAAGTTTATCAGTTGCTTAATATCATCACGATTCCGGCTGGAGACGATCCATTTCACATCAACTTGTGAATTAGGGCAGGGTTTTCTGATAAGCATTATTAAACGCCGTAGGTCCACCTCACATTCGTCGAGAGCATCAATAAGCAGGTAGATAGTGGTATGTTTTGAATCTCGGACCATGTTTTCGAAAATTACTGACAAAGAATAGAAAAGGTCTCCATTTTCAAACAACTTAGGCTCAGACTCATATCTCTTCCGCAGATGCGAAACTAGATGCGGCTGTTGGTCAATCATCATGTAAATTAGACCCCGGAGAACGCCGGTGGCATTGTTGAGTTTAGGGTCAGTTGCTTGGCATAGAAAGTAGGCTATTGTTCGGGATGACTGTGGCTGCTTTTGCCGCAACAGTTCTTTGATAATCCCAATTATGAGCATAGTCTTTCCCGTGCCGGGATTTCCCTTGATCCAGAGCACCTGGCTTTGCGGGTTGCAATGCCAGTTCCGAAATTCAGCATTATCCAGAATCCAACGAAAAGAGTCGTTTAGCAAAGCACCCTTTGTGTCCTCAATGCGCTGTCGCTCATCTTCAGGGTTAGTGACCAGCAGGTCTCGCAGGCAGGCTTTATCCTCAACTGTGAAGACTTGGACTAAGTTAGATAATACATAACTGAACATCATGGTTCTAAAACTCACCAATTCTCGGGACTATTGATGGTACTGCAGATTTGGGCGGTATCTCCGATAACACTACTTTTGTAAAGGCCGCCGCCATCACAGCAGCAAAGGGCTGCCAGTCCTTGTTCTTTTGTTCGTTGCCATAATCACAAACACCACGTATGTTACCAACGGGTATTTCATTCATGACCCCTGCTGCCTCCGTTTCTAGGCCAATTAAATTATACCTGTCTCGTAGTTCATCTCGATCTCGGCTACTTTTCAGTAGCTTATCACCGGATCCGAGCGGGCCATACCACACACGTATCCGTTCAGTATCTCGGCGGCGTTCTCGCCGGACTGGTATATTGTCACCAGGCAAACAAAGAGTATCATTTTCTTGCCCAGGGTCCGGAAATTTCGTCGTGGTGTCTGCCATCATCTTGTAATAGCCTAAAACTGCCTCTGTATCTTGGTTTACTGCCTTAATCTTAGCAATTGTAGACCTCACAATTCGTTCTGCCTGGGGCAAGGAATGCCCGCTGGGCAGCAACTCGAAGCCCATGCCTCCTTTCTGCTTTCCTAACCCATAAGGGATTATTGCTGGGCTCTCTGCGACCGGTTGAGCTACAAGGATATCACCCAATCGAATATCACGCGGCGGAGAGGATGTGAGATTCGGAAGGCCTGCAGCAACACCCACAAGCAACCCAAACCATAAGTTCGGGAAATGCTTACGTATATAGCTGGCAAGAGACGTTACAGAGCTTGTACCGTATGGTTGGACAGTGGCAAACGTGGCAATGACGACATTATGCCCACAGATCTCACCCGCGTGGAACACATAGTCGTCTCCAGGTCCAACCGGGAATCCTCCTGCATGGATTTTATCCAACATGTGTAGGGCAGCCTGGGCTTCGATTTCAAGCGGGGCGATCCATGCAATGGTATAAAGGTTCGGGTTGAGGGTAGGCATTCTCGGCTGTTTTCGTTGAGCCCCCGGAGGAACCACGGGGAGGAGGCACAAGGCAAGTAGTAAGGGTGGGAACGTAGGATGGCGGCGGGCGAGTCGGACCCATACGCCTTGTCGGTCACAGGCTGAACTACCAGTCAAGAATGTTAGATTCTGATCTCAGGAATTCGCTGGATGTGATGTCTTCTAGTAGTTCCTTGGTTGACTGCGTTGGATGCTGACGTGGCTCTTAGCACCTCAGCCGCAGCAGCCCTGCAGGAGGCTTGATGCCCAAGGGCAACACCAAGCGCGTCGAGGCTGCATTCATCAATTGAGCGTAAAATACGTAAGATGTCCACTGTGACGATGATGGAACATACCGGATTAATATATAACCCGGCGCTAACCACACCTGTACTAGCCCAATCTTGGCGTGTACCAAAAATGAGTATAAGAGTGTGTTTGGAGTGTGAAGCTGATTGTGCAAACTACTGTAACTACACAGTCGCGTGCTAGAGGTTGCGGCCGCTCGCGTCATGCTGAACAAAACCCACAACCCCTTGCCTAAACCCTCGTCCAATCTAATGCCTACGAGCTTGTCGAACTGAACGGCCATCATATAACCATTGTCTGCCTACCAGCTGGTGTGCGTGGGACAGTCTCTGACGTAGCTGTGGTATGTCGCACGGGCTCAACCTTCGCTCGGCTCCAATATGGATCAATCGTGGGAATTGAAGGTGGGGTTCCAACCAATACCAACCACATCCGATTAGGTGATGTGGTGGTCAGCAAGTCGACTGGAGTGTATAGTGGAGTGATACAGTATGGCTATGGCAAGGCGATTCAAGGCGGGCAATTTCAACCAACAAGAACCCCTCAACAAACAGACATTCCTAATGCATATAAGTCAACTGGAGGCAAAAAAAAGCCGAGTCCAAGGATGCAGTTTCAAAGATCGTATGGCACGGCCTACGACAGAATCCCCATTTGAGCGAAAGATCTTTGCCCCTAGAATAGCAGATGGGCATTCTTTTCCCTCCTGCTTATTACCATGTTAACAAGGAAGAGGACTCTAGAAAGTGCTACAGAGCGTGATTGATCAAGCGATAATCACGTGACATGTGACTACTGGAACAATGTTCATTAGGATCTTTTGCCAAACGTACGTTCAACCTGCCACCCAGGACCAATTTTCTCTTTCTTTCCCTCTCGATTTTGCTTTTTGAAAGGAAGAAAAAAGTGGGAAGCTTCAGGGAATAGACTGTTGGACAGCCCATGTCCAACGTCATGGGAAGGCTAACCCACTCGTAAATAAAGCATATAGTATTATGGCAGAGACCAGTATCAAATGAAGCCACTGGCTTTTATCACATACTACCTTTCATACTTCACAATAAAGAATAACCGGAAAAAGGGTCAACAGCGCTTGAATGGATTATAGCCTGAACTGCTAAACTGATTGTCGATTCAACAGTGTATGACTAAAATAGCATCTTTGAACCTCATATATTTTCATGCAATACTTTCAATGCAAGCTGCATACGCCCTCAAAGCTGTGGGATAAACATTCGTGATGCCAATGGAGCCCTCCAAATATTGTGCGGTTGCATGCTTCGCTAAGAGGCCTTCGGTCTTCTCACAGTTTCGTGTACATTATTTAACTATACATAGTCTCCAACTACACCCGAAGGCATTGTAAGTACTAGCTGAAGACGATCAAATTTAGGAGACAAACGCCACAATGAGATTTGAGACCTTCATCTTCTGCCTCATTTCCGTCGCAGTTAGCGCAGTAAGTGACTGGTGAGGGTGCTTTCTATTACGCTCCCGAGCTTCTCAATTCACACACATTACTTGCACATGCCATATTTCTACCATCTGACAGCTAATAACAGGTGCACGGAAGAGGAAATAACCTCGGTATCAGATCTGACAGTGACCGCCAGGTAGCCCACAAGACCACGTTTACCCAGTGGCTTACGACTAAAACAAATGACAGGTCTCAAAAATGACGACTTTTCCAGTTGTGAATCACCGCCATGGTACAGAGTTTCACAAGAGGTCGGAGGTAAGGGAGATAGTAGCGTTACAAGGCTTGTCTGACTATGATACGTTGCTAGGAAGCAAAGCCGCAGTGTTCCTTTCATTATGGGCTGGCTCGTGTCGATGAAACGGCTACAAACCTTGATACTCTCCAAAAGGACAAGGCCGGTAAGACATGTACAGTACAGGCAGGCGTTTGTTCACGTCCTGTGCACGAAGGACATGCGGCTCTCTACATTTGCAACTACGTATGATTCTAAACCCCCAAATCGCGGCCATGCAGTAATTAACAAAGCTGTAGACAAATCGCGACATGCAAACCCCGTGCAAAGATCTCATCGCACATGCAAAGCAAATCTTCCAGGCCTGCCGCTTTGGGGATGCTTATACTCACGGGCATATGGTTGGGAAAACAGCGGGCCCGGGTGGGTCCCCATACATCGTGGCCCTTGGGGACGATGGTGTGTTTTTACCTAGTTTGGGTTGAAGTTACGTCCGAAGAAGACCGTCCCTAGGGCGGCCTGGCAGAATATGGGGTTAGCAGGTTCAATATGATCAGTCGGGGCGATACAGTACAGAAGAACGGTTGACTAAATTTGGGACGCAGCTGTATCAAAATACGCTTTTAGAGCTTCAATACAGGCCGGATTGTTCCCATATTCTCGAGTGGCTTGCTCCTCAAATTGCTTTGTTAGCCTCTCTAGCGCAGTAAGCACTTCTAAATAACTGCTTTACTTCTCATCATTTGAAAACGACTGCCGTGGCCGTTGATTGGAGACACCTTGGATATTTTTCCTACATATATGCATGATCAAGCATCAGGCATTCATTAAAACGAGGGGTGAAGACTTGTATGGAGTCCTCGATACAGTCTTATTTTACCACACTAACAGAATCACGTACCGCAATGAGATACATACTCATTTCCAGTGGCAAATGATTTAATGAAGACAGCATAACGGTTCGTATATTTTTAACGCCAATAAGCCACTCTCGATTTATCTACATCAGTATTTGATTGGCAGCTGATATGGGTCACGGTTCATATGCATAAAAGGGCGTCCCGCTTACCGATAAGCTACCATGATGCAATAATGCTTTACCGAGGTTCATTGAAGTATATAAGGGACCATCATCTACAATGTCGACTTGGTTAAGTTCCTTTCTCTTTTTACTTTGAGCGGCAGTGCTATTTCAGTTACTCTTCAACAGGAAAAAACCGATTGAAAAGAGAACGATATACTGTCTCGTGTCCCCTCTTGTGTTTACTGATTCTGATGAAGCAAGGAGAGCTCAAGCCTAGAATTACTATCAAGTCCCACAAAGAGCTACTGCAAAGTTTCCAAAATCGAATCAGATCAAAATGGGGGGCATTCTAGGTTCTCGTGACAATCCTATCTTCATACCAGGCTCGCCTGAGATAGTCGATGGTTACACTATTCCAAATACCCCCAGAAGCTCCTTCTTTAGCGATTCCGATGCGGATGAAACCGCAAGTCGATATAATCATGGATATACGAACAACCCAGGGTTACCTCACGATGGCGAAGAAGATGTGTTTCCTCACTTCGGTCAGTTCCAATTTTGTCTATTGAATCGAAGTTTCAATGGCTTTTACACATGCCCATTCGTTCATACAAGGTTGACCAAGTTCAGGAAACGATGAACGGTCTTCACTAAAAAAGGAATACTCCACCGGCCCCTTCACTTCTCCGGCCCATAGTGATGGTAAGCTGCCAATGAGGGATTTGGCGTACACACGCTGACTTGAATAGCCGGGAGAGAAACTACGCGAATCCAAGATCCACACCGGCAGATTTCTAAAAAGCCGTGGCGAAACATGGTAACATGCGTGGGCCTTAGCCGCAGTTCGAGAGGCGGCTTGGTGTTTCAGTGCGTCCAGCGGTTTACATGTACTGAGTCAGAGCTTCGAGAATTTAACCCAGAAGCCCTATATAAGTACTATGATCAAATGGGCTATCGGAGGTCGCCCAGAATACGGGAAAGAACTACTTCTTGAAGACCTTGGAGAGCTCTGTCACCGTCATGAGATTTACTTCTCTACTGCCCATGCATATTTGCCACCGATAATACATGCAAATAGTCAATGCGAACTTGTACGTGGTTTTGGATGTATTTGGCATGCCTACATACTTAGAAGAGCCCATGGCAATCCTCGCAAGCCCGCACCAGAGAGGACGTAGACGGACCCGTTACTTCTCATAAATTATAGCGGGAACTATTGGCTACAGCATCTATCCCCAACCCGGCTTGATAAATCAAGAGTGCTAAGCAACATTGGGCCTCTTTCGGACTGTTCGTAAATAGTACGCTTTGCTCACTTCATAAGGTCGTACAACACTGCATTGCGAGAGCTGATCAGTGATCAACAGCTAGCCACTAACTCAACGGATTTTCGGTTTTATAGATGCCAGGCCTAACACTTGAGTTCAGACCCGTCGCCAGGACCTGAACTGTCGGTCCCTCATATCCGTTATCTTGTCCTGCATTGTAGCTAGACCTCACCAAAACGCGGGTTGGGTTTCGACCCTGGACTCAAACTCCGCGAAGACATTGTCATGACTGTGATATAACACTTGTTTCACATATACATGATGTATCATTCACATGATTCATATGTACTACAGTAATATATTTAGGGTTGAGTTGTACCCATCGTAGCATTGCCAACCTATCAGATGTGGGACTCGCGTGAGTATGATTCTCAGCCAACATGACCTTAGGGCTTAGGCGGTATCGCTCTTTAGACGTGCATATCCGCAACCCCACCAATAACCCAATGCATAATATATTACTTTGCACACCATGAGCCTCGAAAGATAATGAGACGTATCAATTGTCTACATGTGACCATATTTTTTTTTCTCGGTCGGTCTTGGGTCAAAAATAAATCTAACCCATGTTGTGGCCAAATTGGAGCCACCCCAGTGTCATTGCCGCTAAAGGTTGTTAGACTTAGCAGAAGGACTCGAAGCCCACTGCACCCCAAGCTTGGCACTCTTTCTTTAAATTAAACCCCCAAATGAGACCTTTTCAACCATTGCGGAACACATTGTCTTCTCTTTGCTGTCGGCCTTATTCCACTTGGCTAGAACGCGATCTGTTCATTTGCTTCTTGAGATATAACGCCCATTCTTGGAACTGTCTAAGATAATCCAACATAGTGTTCACATGCTTTCGGATCTCACTTCTATGCATTAGTTGTCGAATTTCACCCATGGCCAAGCAAAATACCTTATCTCATCGCCCTGTCTACGTGAATCAGCCTTCCTTCACGCATCTGTTTGAGTAGATGACATACCTTGACATTTCTATACTTAATTCTCTTCTGAAGGTTAGTCTATTATGGTAAGAAATATTGAGTGACATGTACCTAATTTTTTGCTCGAGTCTTGATCAACATGTTAGAAAGAAAGAATATTGATATCAAAGAACCACGGGGTCTTACAGAGCAATATTTTCCTTCCAGTTGCTGTTTTCGGAGTCAGTCCAAAGCAAAGGCAAGTTCGACCTTAATCATTCTTACGCAGGCAGTTCTTCCTCAAACCTTATCGATGAAGGTAAGGGAGTTTCTCCAGAATCTCCTTCCGTTCCCGATGGGCTGACGCTTTCTATATCAGTCTCATGGCCATAGCCATTAGAGAAATTTTGGCGAAGGACTTGGTCAATGTAGTCCGCCCAAGAGCTCATGGAAGGCTCTCCCTCCATTTGATGATAGCAGAGTAGTAATTATTGACAACAAGATATCGGTTTATGCGAAGTGAGCGACGCCTTATAGGCGTTGGTGAGCGATCGTGGTTTATCGAAGGGAAATGATTCAAAGATTTCAGGCACAGGAGATAGCAAACCTCTTATTTATGTGTACGTGGCTTTGGATGAATGGAAAAAGAGGTCTGCAATGCGATGGTTTAGGAGTGCTTCATCTTATTCTGTACAAATTATTCTGTCCATATTATTCTGAGGCCGGCCTAAGTGTTCAACGACCTACGAGGGAAACAAGGAATTTCTTTGTTAAATATTTTTAGGCTATGTAGCAGCGTGGTGGGTCTCGTAGCAACTAAACTGGGAGTGCCTGCTCATTTTTCTGGTCCAGCAGTCTTTCCCGCCTATGAGTGTGTCGTAATATGTACCTACGGGGCAGCAATCGTTTAACCCGTGACATATAACTTGTTCAAGCATGATCTTCTGCAGCATGTCTCCATGTTAGCGGGACAAATTTCTGATTGGTTCAAGAAAGTTCGAGAGAAAGGGTTTCTATGGAATATGTTACCATTCTTGGATATCCTAAGCTATCTTAATGGCATGTACTTTGGTGTAGGTACGAAGACCAAACCACCTCCAGAGAACCAAGCTGGAGCCTCATCAAGATCTATCGTAGCGTAACTGTCAGTCTCCTTTTAAGGCTTTCCCCTCGGCATACGACTTTGGAACCATTATTATGATGTCTTCGTAGAGTCAAGCACTGCTCCGATCATACCAGCTCGCAAGGAAGCTCTGGACGAAAGCAGTTCGCATGTTCAATGGCACATTAAATACATTCTCTCCACTCCTGCTCCCACTAGACAAGGATTTCAGCAAGAGTTGAGGCTTTCTCTCGAGATAAAAGTGGCTAGAAGGGGCGTCTCTTCCCTGGCCTATCTGCTAATTCGTCTACTTTGTTATTTGCAGTGTCGTCGCAGTGTTTGGGTATCCCCTGGAGGTGGAATGTTCGTCCTCGTTCCCGGGCGTCGGCAGCCACCTGGCTTGTACCATAGAAGGTCCGGTGTTCTTTTTTTTGGGCTCTAATATACTTGATCGAATATAGTAAACGTTCTGCATAGCAGAATGACCAAGCCAATACTATGACCTCTGACTCCAGTACAGCAATCGCCATACGCTATCTGTAACTTGACCTTCTTGGAGAGTAACCTGAATTTTCTATCCTTAAAAGTAGCCTCTATCTAGACTTTCTTGTACAAATGACTTGATCATATGCATGGAGCTTGGATCCTGAGGAACGTGATGGGTGCTTTCATAATACTGAACGACGCTATCTAAGCAGGCATCTGCGAGCGTCTGTGTTTTCTCAGGTGCAATCATTGTATCTAACTGAGCAATGAAGTGCAGCGTTGGTGTTAATATTTTCGGATCATACAGAGAGTGGTAACTCGCGTGCCCGAGTTTGAAACCACTAAAGCAGATTGCAAAAAGAAGTGGTTGGGATATCGCCTAGAATCAAGGCACTTTTATTAGCAAGAACACCAAATGTGCCTCATATGTGCCTGTACGCTCCACCTACATTAAGTCGAAGAGAACTAGCACGATTGTGACGCTCCAGTAAGGACAGGATGATTGCTTTGATGGCGGCTCCAGTGGAAAACCCGATTATCCCGGTAAGTGGCCCATGTTTTTTAATGATATGCGCAATGGAGTCAATCGTTTTATCGAGACCACGAACTAAGCCATGCTCGAAATCACCAAATCCCTACGCCCATGTGTCCACATTATCAACACAGTCACATGCACTAATGCAACCATTGGGGTAAAATAATCCGACTCCTTCATAATGTGGAGGAGCTAGTTTCTCCTTAAAGGCTGTTTCAATAGCATCCCTCACGTGCCTAGTCTTATGAAAGAAGAACAAGCCTGATTGTCCGTGACCTGTGGGTAGTCTGTTATTAAGGGGCAAAACGCCATGACCGACTTTGAAAAAGACAAGCCGTGGAGCATAAGGATTTTAAGCTTGCTGCACATCGCTGTAGGTAGTGTATTGGGTGTCGTGACTGTCATCTGGCATAAGTTCTTCAAGTCATCGAGCAGAGACAGAAATAAGATAGAATATGAGCAGTGTGTGGTTGAAGTGGCTATTGTGACACCTAGATGGCTATTATCCTTGCGTACAGAAAGGAGTTAGATTTGCCTTCTTATATTCAATCCTTTGAATTGGAGTTTCAGTACAAGATTGTTTTATATGGATGTCAGTTGATCGGAGATGAACATACGTTTGTGGATTTGCGATCCTTTGACCTTCATATAGTGAAAAATTTGGTAAATACTTCCACATCATTCGCATTGAACAGGGTGGCCTTTTCTATTCCTGCAATGGTCGAATGTACGTCCATGATGTGTATTAAACCAATTCCTTGAATCAATGTTGGCTTCCATTTCCTCAATGAAGGACAAGTTGTGCAACACCTCTCGCTGTCCATATGCTCACGTGATTTGGTGAACCCCCACGACTCGGGAGATCTATGCCGGCATTGACAGCTCGGGTCAGCAACAAGTAAACTTGAAATTCGGAAATTCATTATCATTCGATAATGATTTCCGCCGGGCCGATATTTACGCTGATTGTCAACCCAGCTTCATATGGCATTCAGAGATGATGCTCAGTCAGTGAAACCCGAGTCATAAGGATTGCTCTTGTCTCTGAGCTAAATCAAGTCTAGGATCCAACCCCTGAACGTGTCCGAATTCCCGCGAGAGTAAGGAGCGGATATACCCTCCGGAGATAAGACCACTACCACCGCCACTAGCTGCCCTAACGACGCTTCCGAAAGACATTGGCTTACTATGCTGTACCGCGGTGTTTTTGTTAGAGTATTCCACTTTTTACGCTATAATCCTGCCACGCAAGCAATTCTAAATAAAATAAAATGGAATAAAATACCCTAGTATTTTGTATGGCCTCTATTTACATCAATGACTGCTTAATACCGCGCTAGTATAGATTGAACTGACTTAGCAAAGAAACTGCTAGGGATTGCATCCCAAGCCTCTTGTACGATCCTGCATAAACGCTCGTGGGAATATTGCTTGTCATTATTCGCATGGTGGCGGTTAATCCAGTCTTTTATCTAATTCTATACGGCTTCGATGGGATTAAGATTAGGCGAGTAGGTAGGCCAAAAAATGGGAATAATCTGTGTATGCCGCTAGTCACCTAATGCTTACAGGTGGAACCGACTAACAAAATTACTGCGGTAGACCATAATAAGCCGTGGCTGCGCATGCTTGGAGTGGGGTCATGAGCTTGAAAGGTCGAGGAAATCCAAGCTTCCTTTTTGGGCCAGCACTGACCACTATGCTATCCAAAGTCACCCCAGCTAAATAAATGGAGGGACCTCAGTCATAGTAACGGGCAAGGTGAGCAAGAATGAAAAGAAAGCAAACTTTTTCCTCCTTGGCCCTGCTTGGCATGATCTCGATTGAGTTTATGGCATATTGAACGGTCTCACATGAACCATGGGCCGAGTCGCACCTAATCTTACCGTTGTGGGGCTAGGTGCACAATTGGGCTGATAACCGTCAGGGATCTGCGCAAAATTTTTGCTTCCCCTAGTCTTGATTGTTTTGAAGATCACTTCCTCTGTCAGTAAGACTCTAATCTATAGTATTATCACGTGTCCAGACTGGAAGGAAGCCGGTCCGTATTCTCCCACTTTCATGTCACATGATCATCGCGTTACTATCAACACGTACAGCAATCCGATATCCTATAATGTTGAAGGGACCAGTGGCATATATTTGAAACACTACAAAACTTAAAATTTCGCGGGTGGTTGCTGTGCTTCAGGCACGATGTGAAATCCAACTTCACCAATGAATTACCCCAGTTGCCAAACGAAGTGGACTACTAAACCCGGGAGCTAACCATAAGCATCCAACCTAACTAGGGAAAAAAATAAGATTGGCTTAAACTCGCATTATTTCACATCCTCAAAATTACCAAACGAATGATGACATCCCTCCATCCTTTGTTGCAGGGCTAAAGGCGAGTATTGGCAAATTGTGTATCACGTGACCCAGGGGCGACTGCTTATATCAAAGATCCCGAAGGATACATGCCGGCGTAAGGGTCGCCCACAAAACTGGCGTCTTGTGCATGAGGTAATGATTCAGCAGCAGACGCACCTGGTTGCAGTAGAGTAGGCATATGGAACTGTCCCGGCTGACCATTTGAACCTTGGTTGTATAAATATGTCCCCGGTGCCGAGGGCATGTTGCTGGCCTGTTGAGGGTTCAAGCCTGGCTGGAAATTTGGACCTGAGTGGTACTGAGGATATGCAGCTGGTGTAGAGGCCACGTTGTTGGTCTGTTGATAGGGTTGAGGGTTCGGAGCTGGTTGGCCGTTCAACCCTTGGTTGAGATTGTACTGATATGTACCAGGTGCAGAGGCAATGTTGTTGGTCGGTTGATGGAACTGAGGGTTCGGAGGCGGTTGTGGGATTGGACCTAGATTGGAGCCCCACTGCTGAGGGATCTGGGCCGCTGTGGGGCCCATCGAAGCCTGCGCCAGCTGGACTGGTGGATGGGTCTGGCCGCCAGGCCACTGGTGAGAGCCTGGAATTCCAACGCCAGACTGCACAGAAGTTGGATACCCTGCAGATGATGGGACTGGCATCTGACCAAGGTTTGAGGAGCTCACCTGCGGCAGCTGGGCACCATTTGGTGTAAGAGGCTGCCGGCCTCCCGGATGCTGTCCATGGTAAAAGCCGCCGGTTGTCGACATCTGAGCAGGAGGTCGTGGTGCGGGTTGCACCAACCCACCAGGCACGCTAGTCGGTATTTGCGCCGAGTTTACAGTTGGTGGGGTTTGGTCCGAATAAAACAGGCTGGGTGCATGTTGGCTTTGATCCTGGCTAGTATCTATCTCCTCCGTCGTTTGAGATTTACCAGTCGTTACGGGAAACGCCGGAAGGTCATCTTGTAAACCGTGCAGCTGAGTATCAGAATCCACCCGTCGGTCCGGTCCAGGGCTCTCCCCGCTATATGGAACTTCCCCGACGTCCGATGTAACATCATCGTCAGCCTTTAAGAAAGAAGGTGGTAAATCATCCTGTGGCATGACTTGCTTCGGAGGCCCATCCAAAATCATTTGTACGAGGCGCTTGTGCTGTTTCTCCACTTCCCGTCCAAGAGCTGGGTCCTTTTTGAGAAAAAGTTGAACCAGGGCGCAGAGATTGTGTATGAATTGGCTTATTGGCCGATGCTCACCCTTAATCATCTGCTGTATCTGAAAACAGTCAGTACAAAATGGAAAGCGGACTCAGTCGAAGTAAGTCGAACAGCACTTACAGCTCCAACAACATCAACGGCTTCCGGCCTATTGAAAAAACCGTCCCTGTCCAGCGTCGCTGATGACTCTTCCTGCTGGTGACTTTTAGGGCGTGAACCCCCCGCCCTCCTTGGTCTCCTAGCTGGAGGGCTTGCCCGTAGGGCCAACGTGGGGCGTCGGAGTCGCGTACTCGTGTCCGTCTTGTTCGCCATTATCAAAGAATATGTCAAAAAATGATAAACGAATTTGAGTGCTGATGGACAGGAGAAGCGGAGGCCTTGGTTGAAAAGGAACCAGAAAGTGGCCAGAGAGGTCATTTAAATATTCCTTTCCCCCCCGACTTCAACCCCTGCCGTCAGGGACGGAGTCCCAAGCCACCATCCGCTCAACCACTCTCCCTTCGCTTAACGATTGTTGGACTGGTCCTGGTTTGTTGCCCGTTTGGTTAACTGAAGCAGGCAGATGCGTGTAACATCGCCGGAAATGGTGGCGGGAGCGGCTAGAACCGAGCCGAAATTGCACCTAGAATGAGCGTCCAAGCAAAATACGAAGCGCGAGACACCACTAGGGTAGCGTGCTATACGCCCGGGTCGCCCACAACATAGCACGGTTATGAAGTGCTGCGTTCAGTTCAACAAGCGTTCAACAGGCGTTCGAAGGCATTATCAAGATCCGTCTTTGAGCTCGGCGGGGCCACGTTGTGGGCACGGTGCGAATGTGGCTCGTTCGTCCGGCGGTTCAGGCTTTCCGGGAAACGGTGTCACCACTTCCCTCTCTGTCCTTTCTTTCCAGAGCCTAGTGCCAAGATAAAATGCCCCACATCTGGAAGGATCTCTGGCCTACTCTAACCTGAGTGGACGGCTGTAGCTAGTGCTTAGCCATAAGGAATAGCGTGCCTCAAGAAGGATGTCTTGGAAAAGTAGGAAAGAGATTTCGTGGTGACACCGTTTCCAGGAAAGTGTGTATCCCCAAGCCCCGAACCATCATCGCCCGTAGCGCCCGTGGGCAGTCCGGAGCGGGAAGCGACGCCAACGCAAAAAAGGGAGCCAACGCCAGAGGCTCCACTTTCACAAGTGCGGCCAGCTCGCAAGTCTCACACAGCCCAAAAAACACCACGGCGGGACCGGGGTCACCGGCAGCCGAGGCTGGCCCAATCCCCAGTAGGCCTCGGAGCTGGCGAGGTTCCCAAAGCATTGAACGCTCCTGCTCACGAGGATACTGTGAACTACGAGCTGGCCGGGAGCCTCTGGATCTGTGAGTATCCCTGGTCCTCCAGCATCAAACGTCAGCGAAGCTAACGCAGACAGGCGCGAAATATATCGCCATGAAGCACCAACCATCCTCCCCCACACCCCGATACCTGTCCAGCGGTCCCGCGAAGATCCCAACGAGGACGGTCCACAAAATCCAGACGGCTCGCCGGTATCCGGCCGAGTCTACCCGGCGACCCTTTCGCGACACCGATGCAACACAGGGACACCATGGATCGAGGAGCAAGGAGATTGGAGAGAGATGAGAAAGGGGTCTTAGTGTTCATACCGTCCAGCGATTGGCGTCATGTATATTGCAGAACCATCGGTGACCCTCGAAATAGTCCACCGCATATTTTAGCAGCGCTTCCGAATCTTCACGTTCTCGGGTACATGTAGATAGTCGGTAGAATTCCGCCCGTGGGTGGAAAAGGGTGGGCGAAACGATTACCACGGCCGGAGAGAAACGACCCTCATGCCACAGTAATAACGGTTGCCGGTGCTCTCAGCCCAAGGAGACAGGGAGCAGGAAGTCGTCCATCTGCCCCACGGATGTCCTGTGGGAATGGCTAATCCACGGACAGCGTAAAAACGCAGGATGTCGTGGAGGCGTGGCGAGCAACGACACCGGCCCGCGCAAAAGCCCCCAGCGCCCAGAGACACGGCCCTGGGGGCCTTAAAAGCTCTGTTCAGCGCTGCATGAAACCGAGGATCGTCCGGACTTGCTCGCCTCGCCTCGTTCATCATGGCAGTGTGGTTGGACCTGGAGCATGCCACCGGCGGCTGGACGGTCGTGGAGAGCGACCGCATGAGTCGCATCCTGGACCTCATCGACTGTCCCAGCGCGGGGACTCCCGCCATCCAGCTGTTCATCGGCCAGCGGGCCAAGCTGCAGGCACTGCGGTCCCTGCACCCAGATACCAACGTCGGTCGCTCCGGTCGGCAGGGGTTCGCCCGACTCCATCTCGCCGGCGGGTCCCAGCCCGATCCGGTTCTGTTCATCGAGACCGGCCACGCCGACCACCTCGAGGGGAGGTGGGAGAGACCGTCGCAGCCGGTGTGCCGACACCGGCTGCCGGACACCCACGATCAGACCAGCGACGGCATCCGAGATCTGGTGCTCCAGCGGCTGTGCCTGCCGGTGGCCGACACGGTGTGTCTGTTCGCCGCCGATCTGGGGGGGATCGCCCAGGTGCAGGCGTGTGTCGCCCGCTGGAGCGCCGCGCCGCCGGTCAACCTCGACGGATCGACATCGCCCTGGCGCGGCCTGCTCGTCGTCCTGACCGACCCCCAGGAGTCGGACGGCGGGGAGGCCCTCGCATCGGCGCTGGTGGCCCTGGCGGTCCCCCGCCTGGCCGCCTCCGTGTCGGTGGTGGACCTGCGCGACCGACAGCAGCTCTCGCCGGTCAGTCGCTTTGAGCCGCTGCGGCAGCGACTGCGCGACCAGCTCGAGGAGGCACAGGCGGCCCGCGCCGATGCCCATCTCGCCTTTTCCGCCGTCCATTGGGAATGGATCTTCCGCAAGGCCCTGCAACAGATGACGCAGCGGCCGACGGTGCCGTTTGACTGCATCCGCGCGACTCGCCCCTGCCGCTCCACGGACAGCGATCGCACGCGGTCCATGCAGGACTTCCTGACCGTGGCGGCCGCGGCCAGCCTGCCGCCCACGCGTGTGGCCCCCTTTGTCGCGTCGGCCCTGCTCATGGATGCCTACCCGCCCGGGATGCATGGTAAGTCGCGCGAGCCCGGCGGAAAAGGGATAGCAGTGACCCAATTAGGATTTCGCCCCGAGACGATGTTCCGCCGCCTCTACTGGGCCCCATGCAGAGCGGCATGCTCGGCGGTATGGCCCGCCACGACCGACTGTCTGATCCAGTCCGTCGAGGGTGCATTCGCATCGTTGTTCACCGCCCTAGCGTCGAATCGATCATCGGCACAGGCCCGGCGGGCGTTCCTGCGCCGTGAGCCGTGGATGTGGGGACCGCTGAAGTCCTCCTGCGTCTGCCTGTTCTGTCTACAGCGGCCACCCGAGCACCTCTTACCCTGTGGACACGCGCTCTGCGACACATGCGTTGCCATCGTCGGCATCCGCCGGGGACCCGCCGAGTATCATTTTGAGATCCCGGAGTGTCCTCTGTGTCTCCAAGGCTTCTCGGTCGTGGTCCGCCAACTCCCGCCGACGAAACGGCCGACGATCCTGGTCCTTGACGGGGGCGGGGTCCGTGGAGTCGTTACTCTCGGGTTTCTTCGGGCCTTGGAGGATGCGGTGGGAGGGAGTCGAGGCCTTCGCGATGCGGTTGACCTCACCGTGGGAACCAGTGCAGGTAAGTCCCATTACTCTTGTTGCTGTTGATGCTGTTGATGCTGTTGATGCTGTTGATATTGCGGTGGTGTGCTTTGTATATATCTTATGAGCATGCCAGATGACTGTCACTTGGTCCGTAGGTGCGGTTATTGCTTCGGAAATCATCGTCCGCGGGACGTCGGCCAGAGAAGCAGATACGAAATTCCGAGCCCTGGCGCGACGGATCTTCCCAGCACGGTCCCGCCTCCAGACCCTGTGGGGACAATCATGGGGCCTGTTCACCACCTGGATCGCCGACAGTCGCTACAGTTCCCAGGCCCTGGAGGAGACCTTGCAGGCGGCATATGGCACCGTCCGTCGACTCTTCGACGTCACCGCCCCGCTGGTGTCCGGAAGCCGCGTGGCGCTGACCGCGAGCCGTGTTGACGATGGAGCTCTCGGTATCCTTGCCAACTACCGGGGCGTGGGACGGCATCGGATGCAGTCGGCCCACCAGGCGCTGGTCTCCGACAAAGAACCACTCCTGTGGGAAGCGTAAGTCGTGGGTCCATGGACAGGTGCGGGTGCATGACCCCTGCCAGGAAGTACTGACCGGTCACGGAATAGCGCGCGGTGCAGCGTGGCTGCGCTTGGGTACGTGCACGTCCATGCCGTCCAGCATGCATCCTAGAACGGACGTGGCAGCACTGACCAAGCCAGGTATTTCACGCCCAAAACGCTCCACGGGATCGGAACCCTCCAGGACGGGGGCGTCCGGGCCAACTGTCCGCTCCGGGCCGCCCTCCGCGAGAGCCAGATCATCTGGCCCTCCTGCCCGAGGCCGGACCTCGTGGTCAGCATTGGGACCGGCCATGCCCTAGACGACACGGCCGCCCCGACGGCGTCCACGGAAAAGGGCAATCGCCTCTTCGGCGACAGCTTCATCGCGCGAGGCATCCGGACCTTCCTGTGCTCGCCCGCGGTGGATGGATGGCGCGGCTGGCAAGACGCCCGGGACAGCATCCCGGAGGACGTCGTCCCACATGTCTTCCGCCTGGATCGCCCGGTCCGCGGGGCGTTGCCCGAACTGGACGATGTTCACGCGCTCGACGACCTCGGGGAGTTTGACTATCGCATTCCCGACGAACTGACCCAGGCCTGGTTGACCCGGTCCTTCTTCTTCGAGATGGACGAGAAGCCCATCCCGGCCCGCGGATGGTACGAGTGCCACGGGTCCATCCTGTGCTGCAGGGCGGGCGTCGCAGGGCTCCTCTGCCAGGTCCAGCGTCGGTGGCCCGGGGCCCGTTTCACGGTCTTCAGAGGGAGCGACCTAGGCCCCGTGGATAATACCGACGGATGCGACCGATGCGGGTACTACCGTCATCGCGTCGCCTTCCGGGTGGTCAGCCTGCAGGAGGCCCTTCACTTGGGCATCAGCGGTGGCATCGGGTTCAGTCCTCTCGGTGGCTTCCCCACCACCGTCCAGCAGCTTCTGGAAGACCAACAGGCGGACTGCCCGTTTGGTCGCGCGGATCACCGCCGCGATTCGTGGCCACCATCCCGACCATGCTACTGCACGGGATGGAAACGGGCTCCTGAGTCCGCCAGCAGTGAGCGAGCATGTAAAAGGCGGCGCCTTTAAATCACAGGCAGCCCCGAATCACCTGTCGCGGGGCAGAAGAAAATGGGAGAGAAGAGGGGGAGGGGGGCGTCGTAGTCCTAAGTAGTAAACAGGTGCCGTGCAATGGAGAGGAGAGACGAAGGAAAACCGGGCGGCAGGAAGTAAGCGACATGCTTCAGAGCGGTGTCTCGTATGTTGAAGGATGGAGTCCACCTGACGAAATCAAATCCAAGGCCATGGTTGGTCCGGCAGGACCCACTCCATCCACCGGGCTGGTTTTCATTGGTGTCGAGGCCATGAATGACCCACATAGTCTTGTTAAGACAATCTTCTTAGTTAGTCCACCTGACGTGTCCGAAGGACTGGTAGGATGGAGTAGTAAGCTCCAAGCCCTTCCTTCTTCACCCTATAATAGTGCCACGCGCTGCCTTGGACCCAATGAGGGCCAGAAGCGCGCTGGTTGAGTGCTTGGGGCTCCCTAACACCGAATCATGCCGAGTCCCATGAGATTAGCCGACGCGAGGATCCCTCGAAAAGGAGGTGGAAGATAAAGTCGCCACATGGCGGATACATCACGCTAGTTCTCAAGCAGTAAGGCTTTTACAAGGGTTTTCACTCGGGACCCACTTGGGGTTTAACTTCCATCATCACCGGTTGGGAGGGTATTTACGCGGTTTTCATTTACTCTCGCTTGGTAGACTGACGAAATTGGGCCTTACTAGCTCTTGTCGTAGGTTTCTAGGATCATACTATTAGAAATTACTGGATACACTCTGGTGGAGCCGGGTTTTAAGGATAGGAAACGTGTGCGCAAGTAAGATGAAACTGTTGTCTGTCTAAATATATATATTCACGGATCCTCCAACGGTCCACACCCTAGATTCAATTAGACTATAATGTAGTAATGTCAACTCGACAAGCCTTAGGAGAGAGGATAGACAGGCTAACAGGCCTAGGACATAAAGAACTACTCCAATATCGTTGAACCTACTGGGATCTACAGACCGGTAGCCATAAGATCGCACCCTTTACCTGTGGACATTTCCATGACACTTGCCCAGAACATGAACGTTTTCGATTAAAATATTATGATCTTTTTAGGGCTAAAGATAAGGGAACAGATATATAGATAGGTGATATAGATATGCATTTATATACACATATAATAGAATAAAATAAACCACCCCCTACCGCTAGTTCAATATCAACACTGATCGAGATCTTGTCCAGTCCGCGTTATTCTAAATAGGAAGGCGGTTTTACCGGACGCGGTACCAAGGGGCAGAATTGCGAACCTCCCTTCGGAGGGCTCTTGCAGACGTAGTCAACGCGTGCGCACTGCAGAGTTAATCAAGTCGGCT